CTGCAGATCCCACAAGAAGCCTACATGAGAAAATACTGCTTATAAAGAGCTTTAGTGTCAAAATTAATCACAATCAAGAAGGCCACACTTGGAAGGAGGAAGTCAAAAACATAGTCTAATTTCAGGCAGAGAAGACTTTCCTGGCTGTCTCACACGCTCATCAGGAAGCCATTTGTTTATTCATTATTATTATTATTGATGATAAATGAAGTGTGCGGTAAACCCAAGGCCGGAAGGAGCTTTGCAGCTGGAATAAGATGCTCCTCAGATGGCTGCTCTGGGGAGACTGAAATGTTTTTGCAGAGCTAATTGCCTCATAAATTGGTTTTATTCTCCTGGCTGAGGCTAATGTCTTCTTTTAAAGTTAATAAAAAGAACTCAATTTGCTGATTGTTCTGGACTGGTACTAGCAAAAAGAGCTGCTCAGGGACTCTGGAAGGGCCCAGACAATTCCTCAAAGCCATTGCAGCTTGGATGCTAAGTGGTGACAAGCAAGGTGTTCCCTGTCTGCTATTTAATCTGCTTTCCAGTGATGCTGTCACAGTGTGTGCCTTGGGTATCCCCAAAAACGTTTGAGGGGGAGAGATTATAACTGACAGCCTCCTGTAGCAGACTCCAGGGCTCGGGGAGTGAGAGAACAGAGCAGGTGTTTGTGCCAAAGAGTGTGTTATCAGCAGGCACGATGTGAGCTCAGCTCCCAGCAGCGCTCCAGCGCACAGCAGCCCCAGGCAGCCTGGAGCAGCCTCCTCACAGCACACATCCCATGGCTCAGGGCCACCAGCCCACAAACCCGCCACTTCCAAGTGCACCCCTCTGCAGATAAAAGTCTGAGCAGCTCTGCAGAGGTTTGTCAAATGGGGGCTGCAGAGTTACACCTAAAGCTGGTGCACACTGACAAGCCCCATCACGGGCAGCTGCTGTGTCCTGCCCCACCACCCCAGTGCATGTGGAACTGCACCAGCAGGAACATTCTGACCCTGGTCAGGTAAGAAATGAGCTATTCCCAGCTGCTGATCCTTACCTACCCCAATATCCAGAGTGAAGTGTGAGCCCCTCACAACACAGACTCCCTGCCTTTCCAGTCAGGAATTAAGTCCCTATCCATGACCATGCCATGTGCAGTGCCTGGGTGCTGCATGCGATCATTGCAGACACACCAGCTGCAGCCACCACACCTACAGGACCTCTTTGATAACCTGAGATAACTGAGGAGGTCACAAACCTACAGCTTCTTACATGGACACAAATTTCTCAGGAGTTAAGCAGGGACTGACTGGAAAACTTCAGCTGAAAACTTGAGCGGATATCCAAGGAGGCTGCTTAAAGCTTGGTGCCCCTCAGCCCCTCATGCATTGAAAGGATCAAATCCTCTGCTAGTGCTGAGCACAGGGAATTCAGCTCTGATGCTGAGCTTAATTAAATAGAAATATGAAGTAAGAAAGAAGGGCTAATTAGATAGAAATGCAGTTAGAGGATGTGAATGCTGATTAACCTAATAATAGACAATAATGCTGTTAAAGGGAGTTAAATGGATTGCTTAATGGATGGAATGATCTATAGTCTATAATATATAAAGTACTTGACAGTAAACATTTAATTACCTCTTCAGTTGCATTTTTCTCTACTGTGTGGTGAAAAAGTGCTTCATAAAAGAGTTATTGGATGGGAGTAATTTACAGTCCTGCAAAAACATCTGTATGGTATGGGAAGAGTAACAATTTGTCAGAGCCACAGCAGAAAGCCTGAGACACAGTGAGCAATGCTGGAGCTGCCAGATAGGGCAGAGCAAGGCAAATTAAATACCTGTACTCCTGTTATGGTACATCACTGCCTCTGTGGGCCAAGAGGCACAGCCTTCCCTGATGTGCCTCCCAGAGGGAGGGCTTAGGAAGCAGAAGATGGACATGACACTTCACAGGATGGCTCCAGGTGAAACTTGCTGAGGATTTAGGAAGGTGACCACTTGTGACAGAGGAGCAAAGCCAGCTTCTGCTGTGCATTATGGGGAAAGTTCTTAGAGGGCTGGAAGCATGTCTGGTTAATGTGACCATCAAGTGCAATGCCAAGGCCCAGCCACTAAAATACTGTAACTTCTCCCAGCTCAGATGAGCTTTTTTCAGTTTGAGCTTTTCTCAGATTTCCCCAGGGGAGCCAGCCAGAAGTCTGGCATACAGAAGGTGTTTTTCAGACCTTTGGGATGTTTTGTACTGAGACAGGGAGCTCATGGATGTCACGAGTGCCTCCGTGTGGCCAGCTCACTCCTAAAGCAGCATCGCCCTCAACAGCAAACACAGCACTTTCTGCAAAATCAATAGTCAGGTCTCTCCTGGAGGCCTCTAATAGAGATGTACAGAGGCAATCCTGAACATTAGAGAGGGGAAGTCGCTCCAGGAGGCTCTCACAGGTCTCTGAATTGGAAAGAGGAGAAATTAAAGTCTGTGGCACAGGGGTTTCTGTACATTCCTCACTTCTGCTGTAATAGGTATCATTGTGAACATCACAGAACATGCCCTAAAGGGGTCCATGATCATGTCCCTTTGGGACAAGGGACAAGGCTTGCACTCCTACTGGCAACACAGCAGCAGTCTCAGTCCCATCACATTCATTTCACACCCTGGGCTGTATCATGTTGCTCAAATTATGAAAATGTGTGCAATTTAATTTCTATACCTTGCACTCCTGCTAGAGCTTTTCTTTCTCCTATCTTATTGCTAAGCAGCTGGGACAGAGGCAATCCCTTGCACTCAGCCCTGTCCCTGGCAGGGTCACTACTGGAGTGGATTCTTCCTCATCACTTGGATTTCAAAAAGCAGCCTTGCTTTCATGTCCTCGTTACAGCACGGCTCTGTCATCTCCAGTGCCTGATGCAGCACAGGTGGCACCTGAATTTCTAAATATTAATTCATGAGGAAGTGCTGAGACAAGCAGAGTACATGTGAAGAAGTCAGCCTCAGCAAGAGGGAGCACAAGCAGGACGAGAGGTAACACCAGCACCAGGAAAAGGAAAGCTGATATTAGGCTAGGGCTGTGCTGGAGTTGCCTACCTAACGTTGATAACTAACAAGTTCCCTTACAGATCTATTCCCCCAACATCTGAAAAAAACAATCTCACCCAAAACCTCTCAGCAGTACATCAGAACAGCTCACAGACTGCCCATTGCTCCTGGCAGGGAGCTATGCCTCACCCAGTGGGAAGCGATGCCTGTTCCATTACCTGCACCACAGGGCCAAGGAGAGCAGCCTGGCCATTAACTGCCCATGATGAGCTAATTAATCATGGGCACTTGCTGAATGCCTGTTCCCACACCATTATTAATGGCTCTGTGGATTGGGCTGCACAGCAGAGGCTCCTCCACGTGCTGAAGCAGCAGTTCTGCTCTGCAAAGGGCACCAGCTTCACCCAGCCAGCAAACAGGAGAAATTGCTGAGTGCTGCCCCAAACTTCCATCTCCTTCTCCTCACTCTTGTGGACTGACTCCTAGCTTCCCACTGGGGCTCAAGCTTCCTGTCACAGGGTCTTCCCAGGTGGCACATGCTCCTACTGAAGGACAGCCCTGGCACCAACTTGTCCCTTCATGTGGGCATGTCATGAGGTGACTGACACCAGTCACTGCCAGTCCATTGCAGAACAGAATGCCCTGGCTTCCACCTTGACACTCCCAGACACTCCAGCCTCACCTGGTGCCACATGTGTCTCCTATGTGTTAGAGGCTTCCTTCTTCAGCTGTGGTGCCAGCGGGAAGCTTCCCTCAGTGTCATGAGATCCACTGAGGTTGGACCAGGGCCCCTTGACTCTGATTCTGCTCCAGATGTGCTGCTGGGGCTTATGTGGCCACAGCCTGCACACAGCCAATGACACCAACTGCTGCTTGTTTGGAGCAACAAAACATCACTGGGAATGAATTATGCAGGTGAGCAGAGACTCTGACAATGAATTATTCACTCTCCCACTCATCCATCTTCTCCCCTCCCATTTCCTTGCTATTTCTAGGTGATGGCAATGAAACTGTGAGGCAGGACAAGCAGAAGGCAAGAACAGAGCCTCTGGGTCTTGCTCCTGCCCTGTGAGCTTCTACCTGCAGCAGAGCTGGCCCAGCTCAGCCTCACAGGAGCCACCACACCAAGGCAGAGCCTGAGTCACCAACTGCAGTGATAGCTCCAGGGTCACAGCCTGCCTCTTGCTCTCCCTCTGCCACAAGATGTGACTCAGGTCCATCCCAATGCCAGAGGCAAGAGGCTAAAAGGCACTAAACCCTCCAGGCTGGCTGGAAGCAAAGGAATGGTGCAAGAACAGCCTAGACAGCTCCCTGATCTGGCTCTGGGGCTTGTGGGGTTGCTTCCCAAAGCAGTGGACTCTGGCAGTCCATCCATCAAAGTGCTAGCTGGCACCAATTTACAGCTGGGCCAAGCCTGTCTGGAATCAGGCAGGGAGGGAGTGGCCCCAAAACCAGTCAGCTATGAACTGTGACTCCCTCTAATCTTGTCCCTCAATCCCTGCGGCTGATGGGCACAAACACAACACCCCCTTTCTACCTGCAAAGGATGTGTCCCATTTAAAGAGCAGAACCCAAAGCCAGCCTGGGAACTGAGCTCACACAGGTGTGGCAGGAGGCCAGAGGGAGCTGAGAAAAGATTGGCCAAGTGGCAGAGTGCCCTTGCAATGTCATAGTCCCACCAACAGACCTGCCTTAGATGATGAAGGTCACATCACTTTGGGGTTAGCAGCTAACAAAAATATCTCAAATCCTTCCTTACACTACATTCATTTGGCATGACAATCAACTGGAACAGAGATGGCTGCTACAAGAGCTTACCCTGCTGTAGTAAGGACCAGCATCACCTTCTCCATCCCATGTGATTGTAAGAACTCCCAATGTTAAAGGTGCCTGGACACAAACATCTATGAAGCTACTCACCTCTGTGGGGAGAAATGTCCTGAATTGTTTCAGCTTCTTAATATAAAGGTAGGAAAAAAATAGAGAGAGAAAACTGACACAAGATTTAGGATGACACAAATTATATTTCTGAACATCACCAAGAAACAAGATGGGACAAATTCATCTAGTACTTGTGGAACTGGGTATCACAGCTCTAAATACAATGGGAATTGTTCAGCTTTGATTAAACAAAAACAAAAATTAATTAAAAAACCACTCAACCCCCAAACATGTTTCAGGTCATTGTGATTAAACTCAGAGACTGAATTAACAGAAGGAAAAGAGATTGCTAATACACTGCCAAAGTCGTTCCCACTTAATTCAGCTAAAGAGAAGCAATAAGCCCAGGACTGCATCTGGCAAGTTTCAAGTAGGGACCTTCTACAAGAAATGCAGACTAGGGTCACAATAGCAGAATAAGCTGCAAAAGGAGGTGAAGGAATTATAGCCATAGGACACATCAAAGTACAAGCTTATACAGACCAGTCTTCAAAGCTGCAGTTTCTCCATTTAGTTTCATAAGCAAAATTTCCAAAAGAGCCTTTTATTCTTAGCCCCCATATGTGAACTAAACCCGATGGTTTGTGAGGGCTGGTGACACAATCCAGCTCTGGGCACCACCCAGGACTCCTTTCCATCAGGAGTTATGCAAAAAGGTGTGAACCAGAGCATGCAAGCAGAGAGGTGTCTGCACCAGCACCAGGTGAGACAGTACCTGTGTGGCAAGGAGTAGCTTCCCTTTGGTGGCCCAGAGAAGAAAAGCTGTTGCTTGTTTACCTGATATCAGCACTATCACGCTGCATTGTGTAGGATTTGCTGATGGACATGTTTGTGCATCTTCTGGCTTTGCACTTTTTGGCTGGTAGAACGTGCCCAATGCTGCCATCATCCTCAAAGAGCATGGGAGAGGCTGGGAAGTGAGAGGAGCTGGAGAATAGGGCCGGTGCTGAAATCAGAGGCGACTGTGTTGGATGCACACAGGCCTTGTCTGTGGGAGATCCATAGGTCTTCCTAGAAAGGGCTGAGAGACACCTCTGCCTCCTTCAGACAAGGACATTCACTCTTTTGATGCACTGACTGCACAGAATCCAAAATATCTGTGGCAGAGCATTACATCTGTCTGGCACAGAGCAGGAAACAGGATGCTCTGAACCCAGTGCCACTGGCAGGCAAGGAGCACCTGTTATCAGATTGAACATACACATCTTGGCCATTCCTATTTTGTTCTCAGCCCTATAGAGTTTCTCCCTGGAACTAAGACGTGAGGGAGTCAGGGTATCAACCCAACCTGACAAAGATAATGAATCATCCCTCTATCCTCCTCCATCTCCTTAGCCTTGGGCCTTTTCCCTCCAAGAGGCTACTGCAAAACCTAATTGAACTGGCATCCCAGTTCCAGATAGAATTTGGAGTCCTGACTCCTGCTCCAAGTCCCCTTTGACATAGGGCTGTCTGCCTTGGCCGCAGTCTGAGGATAGTGGGACAGGAGAGGGTTCTGCAACAGTGAACAAAGCTTCAAGGATTGTGGCACAATTCACACAAAGCACTACCACCTTTGAGCAGCTGGAAATGAACCCGCACAACCCCATTTACTGCATCACCTCAACAGCTAAGCAAAACAAAGGTGATAAAAGCAGACAGCTGAGGAATTCCCATGGAAAACAGCAGAGAGTATGGGGGAAACCCACCTGGAACACCACACTCTTCTTCCCCCTGGGACCTTTCCTTAATTCTATCAAATAGATATATTACTGACACTGCTAAGATAGAAAAAGGGGTAAGAAACAATACCTTATTTCTTTCTCATCAATTGGGTACATATTAATTCCCACACTTCATACTAGGATTAGGCTCAAACTGGAGTAGTACCATAAATCTGTAACCAAACTGAAGACAACAGAGCAAGAATGTCTTTCTAAGTCCAGCTACAAAACCAGTCAATGGCACGGGATGAGAGATGCTTTTATTTTTCACCCAGAACAGTCAAGTGGGAGATTATTAAATGGGGAAAACAGCAGCTTTGATGGGCCAGATACCAAGTAATCCCTGAAATGTGTCCAGTGTATCTGTCAGTGGAGCAGAACTGGGCTTCTTTGGGTTCTCTTCAGTGGATAATGTATTTGCAAAAAAATGCAGTTTAGAGTTAACTGAAACCAGTCATCAGATTAAGAAAAAAGGCAAAGGCAAAAAGACTATTAACATTAAAACATTTTCTTTCAGCATTTTCAAAACAGAAGGTTTCACATTTTTGCTTCAAAGCAACCTGTTACAGCCCAAGACGTAACATTGTTAAAATGCAAGCCTAGAAATTAATGTTTCATTTTGGTATGAAAGGATTTGTTTGTTTCAATTTTTCCCTTTTTCATTCCACTGAGAAAATAGAAAAAAAATTGTCTCAGGTCACCCTTACATTTTTTCTCAGATTTTCAGTTCAGCCTGCAAACTGAAAAACCAGAAGGGCACAGCCTGCTTGGGAGTTTACTGTCCCTCTTTCTATTTGAATCAGATCTAAACCGAAGGAAAGGGGAAGTTCATTTCCAGGTAATACCAACCAGAATCAAGGTATTTAGGAGATGTAAAAACACTGAAAATGGGAAGAGCCATGGCTGTTTACAAGGGGCTGAACAATCCAGGAGACAGATCTCCTGGCTCTGAAGAACACTGCCATCTACAAGTTTCCTGCTCTGCCATCCTACTTTCACATAAGGCAATTTATAAACTGTGGGTCTGATCCTGCATTTTCAGAACCTGACTGAGATGTGCTGACACCACTTATCTGTGAGCAATGCAAGATCCAGGTAACCCACCCTAACCTGCTCTAAAAGCCAGGGGGCTTGGGGGTTTTGGGGGAAGCAAATGGAGAGAGACACAACACTCTCCCCGCCACCAGCAACACTGGAGCATCGCTCACGTGACCTGAAAACAACATCCCTTTTTTGCAAAGTGCTACCACTTCTGCAGGGACAATACAGTACTGGATAGTTGCTCTGCAAGCTCAATAAAATCAAAAGGCCTTACAAGGATCTTTGTTGGGACAGTCATCTGGTTCAAGCACAGCAGAGGACAACAACGGCAAAAAAAACCCCACAATAAATTAGGTATCAGCACAGCTTTCTAAATGGTCTAGAACAGTTACTACAAGACAAAAAATCACAGCTCTGGTAACTTAGAATCTTGTTCTTTTTTTAAAAAAAACAAAGCTATTATCCACAGGTTTTGCATAAAAATAAACATTTTAAGCTGACAGCATTATGTTAATTGGATCAACCCGCTTTTTTATATATATATATTTCTATATATATTTAAATGTATATTTTTATATGAATAATCTTTAAAGGAGTAATGGGAGTCACAAATGCATAAAAATAGATACTTTGAAAAACAAAAAAGAGTAATAATAAAGACAACCCTGATGAAAAAGGAAAAAAAAGTCAAACAGGGCAGTATTCTAAAGCAACAGCTCACCATACCATAATTTGTGGAGTCCAGTCCTTCTGTATTGTGAGCAGTTACTCCTAAATACTATTGGGGTTTCTAACAGTGATGCAAAACAAATTCCTGCACATTTTTTCTTTTAAAAAGGAGAAGGGATTTGGATATATAGGACAGATTTAATGCCTGTTACATTGCTGTAAATAACTAGCATGGATCATCTCCCAGGCTGAAAGCAGGAGGAACTCCAACAATGCTTGCATCTATAAGAATATATTTTCTAATCAAAATCAGATCTGTTCCTCCAAACTAAGTTGGTTTGTTTTTGTTTTTTTTAAACACAATTTCTGCCCTACAATGTTTTTCTGCTGTTCTACATATAATCCAAAGAGACTGGGAAAGGTGAGATTTTCAGTACTCTGTCAGCATTTTGTGCAGCTTTGACAAAAGCCAACTCCTACCAGTTTGGAAGATTATTTCAGAGTGATCCTGAGCATGGCATAACCTCACTGTTAAAAATCCCTTCAGGGCAAAACAATCATGGGGGAGGAGGGGAAGCTGTAAAAAATTAAAATAGTCTGACTTGCTTGCCAGCTGCATCAGTATTCAAGTAAAGTTTATAAAGTACCTTTGTGGGACTTTAGAGTCTTGGAGAGCCAGACCGGCTTATATTAACAAGTGTAATATGCACTTAGAATATGCCTTGTCATCTGCTTGTCTAAACTAAAAATAAAAACAAAAACAATTCAAAACAAACAGAAGCAAAGGAAAGGTAAAGGAAAGGACTCAGCATCAGTATTAGACTGCAGTGTCTTCTTGACACTGACACTTTGATATTCTTGCCTTCCTTTCTAATGCATTACAATAGCATGAAGTCACACAGCCATTTTAAACGAGCATTTCAAGAGTCCAGTTTTCATAGAGGTTAACTTGATCATCAGCACAGCACTGAGAAAGCTGATCTAACAATATTTCACTTATAGAACTCTTCAAAGGAAAATAAGAAATACAATTCCACAAAAAACAACGCCAATGAAAAGCACAGAAAGTAATTTGTTTTTTATCAGTGTTTTCTCTTTGATATTCTTACAGAAAAAAAATTCTTCCCTTATCTCTGTCTTTAAAAGCAAATTTTCTAACCAGTAGATTTTACAGCTATTTTCCATCTACATGAACCTAAATTTTCTGAAACCACCAATAGGTTTGGGGTTTTTTTGGGGGGTAGGGGATGGAGATGCGTGTACTGGAGGATTCCCTCGCCTAAATTTCAGACATCCAAACAGCATCTGTTTGTTTTGTCTTGTTTCTCCTCTTGAATTTGTCCATTCCCCTTAGGATTTCAAAGGCCAACACTACTGTGAGAATTTAGATCTCCACATTTGAAATTACTTTGGACTGAGCACAGCTTCACGCATTTCACCTTCTTGATGCCCTTTCCATGTAGTTTCTTCTACCTTTACATGTATAAAATCACAGTTTATGTAACATTGTTTTAAAGGAAGAAAATAAAATACACACACACACACATACATTGTAGTGGTTGAACACTATACACTAAATCTTTTTTTTCAACAGCATAACAGAAAGTTTGGCCTACTGTAGGTTGAAGATGTAGGGAAGGCAGAATTTTTATGGTTGCCATGCAAGCCACCTTCAAGACAAAACAGAGTAACCCACCCAAGAGCAAATGCAGCTTCTACTTTCAAGCCGTTTGACAAATACTGCCTTTCCAGGAACCAGACTGACATCTGACAATTCAGTCAATGCAGTACTTGGAGAACCTCACTCAGTTGCTTCTGCATCAGTCCTTTGAATCCAAATACTGTTTAAACCAAAGGGGAAGAGGGTATCTGAATTGCCTTAATATTATTAATATGTATATATTTCAATAACACTTTGAATTTCAATTAACTTCTGAAACCTTGCCCTTTGAGAAGAACACACCCTTTAAGTTGACTTTTTTTTCAGGCTTCTATTCCTTCATAATTCTCTCTTCATTTCTTTTCGTTGTTCTTTTTCAGTTATCTACCAGAAAACTTGCTTTCTTCCAGCAGAAATGCAGCTGGTGGGCTTGGACTTTCACTGCACCCGTTCGGTGAAATTCTCAGGGAAAACCCCTCGGCATTGGTCAAGTTCCTTATGCTGGATCCAGTCAGACTCCTTCACACCCATCAGCCATCCTTCGTCCTGGAGGAGAAGACAGAGATCAGATGCTAAGGGACAGATGTGAGCAGGGATTTTTCTTACACGGTGCAGGCCAAGGAGGTGTCAAGACATTACCAAAGCCATGCTCTTATTTGGCTTGGAGACAATCCAGGAGGAGTATAGGGGAGAAGGAAAAAATGCTTTTGTTTCCTTTTAAACAGAGAAAAGCCTACATCCCACCAGAGTTCATACCAAAGCTCTCACCCGACCCAGACTGTGCAGACACAGTAAAAAATAATCAAGTGTAACAGAAACATGTCATAATTTACAACCACTGAAACAGGAGAAATTCTGCCAAAGAGACTCCAGAGCTACAGGATGGGAATCATCTATCTCACCCTTCACAATGCAAACATGAGAGGTCTAGGATTCTCCATAGCCATAAAAGAGACAGGCACCTCCGGTGTGTAATTCACCCTGTTCATCTCAGGCACAAGTCTTTGGAAAGGATGAATCAGCCCCAAGAGGTGCTCATCCCTGCTCCAGTCAGAGCAGCCAGATGATTGGCATTTTAGAGGTGGTACTGGCAAAATGAGTCTTGCTATGCTGAAATCCTGATCTATAGGAATTGGGAGCTGAGGAACCCAACCCACCTTCCCAAAACTCAGCAGTCCATTTGGTTTGATGCAAGGTGAGGTTAGCAAAACTCCCAAATTTTGGCTACATGTGATTTAGGACTCTCAATAAGGTCTTCCCTATCCTCCAACATCTATAAACACAGATGAATTTTCACTCAGGCAAAAGGAACCCTGCTTGGTAGAACCTGCTCATGAGCAGAACCAGACTTCCCACCCTCTGCCTGCAGGCTGTCTGGCATTGAGATTTCTGCTCATCCTAGGCACATGAGGGAGATACTCAAGATTTTCAAGGTGGGAGGGCTGCACTGAGCTTGCAGCTCAGTGTACAACCACTCTACTCTCTGCGTGCCTTGGAGCTGCCACAATGGAAGCTCCCTTCCATGCACACACCCACTCACTTGCAGTGGGGCAGCCCATGGGTTTAGAGTGCAGCATGCAGCATGAGAGCTGCACAGCTCCCAGAGCCTGCAGGCTCACTTAGCCCTGGCTGCTGCCTTAGATTGGAACATTCAGGAGATGTCATGGGAATGAGATAAGATGGGAGCCCATCTGCAGCAGCCAGCTGCAGGGGCTGTGGAAGGATTGACATGCCATAAATCTGGAAGACAAACAATGAGGCAGAAGACGCTGGGCCCAAGTGTCTAGAAGGCAGCTTCCAGCTCACAGCACGTCAGGCACAAAAGCTCATCCATTTGCACATAGTGCTGTGCCATAGAGCACACATGCATCACTCCCACCACATCCTGCTACGAAAGGTCTCCTTGGCTGTAGGGATTAGACATGAGGATCCAGATAGGGCCTTAACAATTTTAAACCACATCATTCGAAGTGCCAGCTTAGAAGTGCTGCTGCCCTCAACCCTTTCTTCTATTGAGAGAGATGAATCCAAGCCTGGGCATACCCACAGACTGAGACCTAAGCTGCAAGGTAGGGATGGGAATCAGTGTAGTATCCTAAGCTCCCTCCACTCACGTGCACAGTTCATGCACATGTTAACAGCCAGCAATTCCTGGCTGGGTATGGTTGGGGTTAGGGAAATGAGTTGTAGCACAGGATACACTGTAGAAGGGTTAGAGGGCTTCAGTGCAGCTACAGAGTCATGTTAGCAACACTCAGAGCTCACCCTCGGCAGCTTGGAGAGTCTTGAGTTCATGGCTGTTGCACCCACATCCAGCTAAAGTGCAAACACAGGGCGTTGAAAAACTCTGATCCAAAAATGCCATCTGCTCCACAAACGCCATTTCCTACCACAGAAACTGGGGGAGCTGACATTCATTTCCCATCCAGAAAGCTTTCTGACAAAGAAATGTTCACAAATGCTTGTGTAGGGCAGTCCCACCCAGTGGGGAGTCTCGTCTCCAGAAAGAATCAGTGCCTGTTCCCCCAAAACCTTCCTCCTGTAGCTGTGTGGGAACTGTTAGCATTTTATAGCTCCATCTCACAAGCATCAGCATGATCTGCCTCCACATTTCACAAAGCCAACAGCTGGGCCACAAAGAAGACCTACATTTTCTGAGTTCGTGAACTGCATCACCTTCCCTTCACCCCTTGCAGAATATCCAGATGTTATCTGAACTCGGCCAAAGCCGAAGAGCTGATGACTGCTCAATCGATTTGGAGAATTCTCTTTCTTTTCCAAACAGAAACCTAGAGATGTGAGCATTAATTTTATAAACTCACCACCTCTCTCAGTCAAAGTAGTAAAACTGCTGCAGATTGTCAGCTGGGTGCCCACAAACACAGAAAGTGAGGACGACTTACTCAAGGCTTCTAGCTCAAATTAAATAAAAACATGACCAAGTAAATTCAGGTAGAAGATGGGCAGCAAGACTTGTTCTCTGGAGCTGAGACCTGCTCTAGCCTTTGATTCTGCTGCCATCTCCTGACCAAACACAGTCATTTGGAAACAGCCACTGCTGTGCTGAAGTGCAAGACATCATCCACCACCAGCTGCTTTCTCAGAGCTCCAACATTTCTCAAAAGAGAGGAAAACATCATAAGCTATGAGTCACTTTTTTCAAAGCCACAGTCTGCGCTGTAGTGGTCATAGGGAATGTGCATCAAGTTTAAGGGCAGCAAGGAGGCAAAGCATGGGCTCTCTTGGGCTCCCTGATCAAGAGAGCCACTGTATTGGCTCAAATGTTTTGACAGGGACAAGAACCCATGACTACTCCATATGCTTTATGCAGGATAATGTCTCCACTTTCCAGTGACAAGCAGAGTCCTCCCTTCTGTTGCAAGAAGCCAATCTCAAGCTCAAGGCCAACCGGCTCTCTTGCCAGCTCCCAGCCACAAACTAAGGGCTCAGCATTCAGCCAGCCAACTGTTAGTGAAGAAAGAAGCAGCTCAGGAAAGCCCCTTGGCTCCACCTGGCCCATGCTCACACCCTGCCTCCCCCACTCACCTGCTCCTCAGGGTTCTCAAATGGAATCACAAGCACCACGTCCCCAGCCTTCAGCTGCAGCTCGTCAGTGTCAGTGGCCGTGTAATCATGCATGGCCTGGACCTGCAAGGGACAGGAGAGCAGCACTTTGAGCACTACAGCCTCAAATGCCACCTGAAACCACACTAAGTGTTATGAGCCTCCCGGCATTCTTCAGGGCTTTGCCATTCTTTCACTTTCAGCAGAACTCACAGAAAAAAATGGGAATGACGAAAGCAGAGAAGTGTTCCTATAGTAAGACGCTGTAAATTCTCACTTTCAGGGCATGATACAGCTGTGCTTTCTGGCTACCACACTCCTTTATGCACATTAAATTTGTGGCTTATCTTCACCCAAAATCACTCCTTCCTCCATGCCTTTGCCGCAAGTGATCTTTGGCATATTCGGAATACCCACCCAACTTTCCTGTCTAGTCCTATACTTTTCTCTGTTAATTCTGACTTTATAACTTCCCTGAACACAGAGTTCTCTGCTCCTGCTGGTGTTCCCAACTCTTCTCAATTTGTCAACTTGCACGAAAGTGTAACTTTTCCTGTCAGGAGCACATTTTATCCACTATTATCCAGAGTCTGTGACTGACACCACCACACCACCAAGACAGAAACCACTCCAGCAGAGAGAATGGATTTTGCTGCACAATACAGCAAGACCTTTAGATACTGATGCTCTTACATAATCCTTTAAAACATCTGGAACTGCATGAAGCTGCACTGCTGGAGAGGCAGATTTATCTCTCCTTCTACTTCTGTTCTGCCTTTCAATGTGGCCTAGCCCATGGCCATGCTGAGTAAAAGCAGCTAATGCCTTACAGGGTTAAAAAAAACCCTCACCAGGAACTCGATGCTGCACAGCCACACACTCACCTTGAACAGAAATCCTGGGGGCATGTCAGCTCTCTCAGATGAAGCACCTCCTTCCACAGTGCCATTGACAGTTGCAGGGAAAGTTTCCACAACAACAGCAGGCAAAGAGCTCTGATAGGCAGTGGCAGCCAGGAAGGGAAAAAAAGACATTGAGAAAAGAGAACCCAAAACTGAAGCTCCAAGTCCACCCTGGAGCATCCAGACCCCAACCATCCCATGGCTTCAGTGGGTTTTACGAGCACACCAGTCAGCAGCAAGAACACCCCAAGGGACAGCACAGGCAGCAGCGGGAAGGCAGGATTGGTGACTGCTGTCTTTCTCTGCTTAAGGCTGCAGAAAGGCAGGAATGAGCTGTAGGTTTTCTGAGACCATAATGCGTGGCATTTCCCAGTTGCTGTGGTCACAATGCAATCTCATAGAGCCCTCCTGGAACAGACAACTCAAATGTGACAGCCTGTAGGAACAAAGCTGCCATGAATGGGACCTACCCCTGACCCCTAAAAGGGCAGTAGTGTCACCAAAAAGAGAGGAAGCCTGGATATCCAGGAGACACAGCCAGAGCCCAGAGGACAGGGTAGGTAAAGTAAATGGCAAGGAAGGGGGAATCCAGCTGACAACACAGCTTAGGACAGCTTGTGGGCTGACTTTGTAACATGGGTGAAGGGACAATACTTTTACTGACTTTTCCAGCAGAACTTCTCCCTAAGCATTACACAGATAAAATGCAACAACAACTAAGTCTGGTTCCTGAATAAGAGCACTGTAACTCCTCTGGTGGCAAGGATGTGTTTTTCCAAGAAGCTACACAGCTCTTTTCCCAGTCTAGCCTCCCACATGTGCTGTGTAACAAGGGGATGGAGAAAAGGGATTGCTGTCCCTTGAGTGTTTACCGATCCTGAGTCAGCTTCAGTTTTAGATGCTTCAGCTCCAGCTGCTGCTTCTGATCCAGCTGCTTCAGCTCCTGCACGGGCTGCTTCTGCAGGCTGCAATACAAAAGTCATCCCAATGGGAAGTTACTCTCATTCCAGCCACACGAGTGTGCAGCAAAGTGCAGCCCAGCCTGCCCAAGTGCTCTGTGCCACTGCCTGAGCCATCTGCTGACTAACAGGTGAGACACTGTCGGGTCTGGCTGCAATTCTGTCTTCCCCTTTCTCTGCAACTCATGGAAATCACAACGAAGTCAGAAACCCTCAACTCCAGCCATGCAGTATGCAATAATTCAGAGGAAATCAATGAAACGCCAAAAATTCTGTGTGCCTCTTCACAATCCAAACTGAAGACCTACTTTACACACACACACACACAGAGTATCTATTATTAGATGTAGATTGCCCACTTCTAAGAGAATACAAGTTCTCTTGCATGCCAAAGAACAAGGATCTCTCCTTAGTTACTTCCAAGGATAACAATCGCAGAATATTTAAGTACTCGCCTACTCCCAGAAGAAAAAGAGCATGGTAATAATGCGTCCAGATGTGAAATTTAGTCCAGACCAAGCATCAACACATTAGGACTGAATCAAACTGAGCTAACTTTCACTCCCTTCAATTTTGGACCGGCCCAAAGAGTTGTGAATTTGGATTCTTTTGTGAATATTCTATTACTAAGAATTTTCTATGAATATTCCAGATGGGGTGCATAACACATTTGTGTTGATGGAAAGTTTCTACTGCACAAAAGCTGCCACTACCAAGGAGATTCAGCACCACCCACAAATCACTGCCTGACAAAGACTATTCTAAAAAGCCTGGGGACAGGGGTTTCTGTGCACAACAAAAGACCAACCAAACACCTATGACAGACTTGCAGCAGTTCAAGTTTTTATTTGTCTTATCTGGAGTCACATGAACTCTTTCTAACACAAAATTAAAGATATTCATTTGCCCTTCCCAGATATTGCAACAATGCAGGAAGTACATTGGATCTGGTAGCACCAAGGCTGCAAATCAGCCCCTTGGGAGACTGGCCAGGCAGCATCTGGGAAGACTCCCAAGATTTCCATTGTTAATGCATGGGAATACCCAGCTTTAGCATGCTACATGCCTCATACATTTGATAAACACATGTTGTCCTGCCTCAGCTGGGATAGTTGATTCTCTTCCTAATAGATGGCTACATTTTGGAGTTAGGATGAAAATAACGTTGATGATGTAGCTGTTGTTGAGCAGTGCTTACACCAAGTCAAGGACTTTTCAGGTTCTCATGCTGCCCTGCCAGCAAGGAGGCTGGGGAGCACAAGGACATGAGGGGACACAGCCAGGACAGCTGACCCCGACTGACCACAGGGATATCCCAAATGCCATCATGCTCAGTGTATAAACTGTGGGAAAAGCGGATCAGGAATCACTGCTCAGGAATGAGCTGGGCATCAGTCGGCTGGTGTTGAGCAATTGTTTTTCATTTGCCTCACTTGGGTTTATTTTGGGTTTCGTTTGTCTCTGTTATTTTTCTTTTCATTACAATTATTATTTTGTTTGAATTAAGATGGTCTCATCTCAGTCCACAAGGTTTATTACTTTTATCCTTCTAACTTTCTCCTCCATCCCACCAATGGGAGGGAAATTAGTCAGTGGTTGTGTGGTGTTTCACTGCCAGTTGGAGTTAAATCAAGACACATGCACCCCTGCATACAACCATATTTAAAACAAGGCATTGTCCAGATTCCTTAATGTTGAAGATCTTATAGTTCCAACCTTACAAAACTCCAGAGTAAAACAATCACCATGATAAACCTTAAAGTACACCCATCTGGCTACTAGCCATGCACTAGCACAATGCCCCAAGCAGCTTTCCAATAACAGCAGCAATAACAAAGAAATAAATTCTTGATTTAATAAAAATCCATTACTTTACCTTCAGCTGTTCCAGTGGTGCCATCTAACACATTCTTTCCTCCCCTATCACATCCTTCCTCATGTCTCCCAATCACCATGTCCACAGGCCTATACTGCCAGCAGATATTACAGAGAGCAGTTCCCATCCTACAGGTTTCCCTCAGCAGCTTCGGTAGAGCTAAGGTAAATATATGCATATGAAATGCTACAAAGGATTCTCCTGTTTAATTGGATTCACTCCCAGGTTTTCATTTGGGTTCAGTGAAATTGGAACAAATGCTAGGCCAGCTCTATCTGACCAAGCATGAGTTTTATATGGGCAAGTGAAAAGGACCTCAAGGTGAGGGTTCAGGGATTTTTGTTGGGTTGTTTTTTGTTGTTTTTTTTTTAAAGCAGCTAATTTGCAAAAGTAGTATGGAATAATCAGAGAAACTGGATCCAAATTAATCCCCTGGATTTCAACAAAAGGCATTTTCATGTCAACTATTAATTTTTCTATTTATATACCCGTGGGGCATCCTGAGGCCTATAAAAGCATTTCCAGTCACGGAAAGATAGTACAGGGAGAGGAAGAATTGCTCACTGCTGCTACCAGGTTCAAAGGCTTTGCTTATTTCAGCAGCAGCATCATGCACACCAAATGCACATTTCCAGTCTGCAGAACTAAGACAGTTCTGCTGCACTGAAGTTTCTATGCAGTTGTTAACCTCATGGCCTATGGGACTAAAGAAACCCAAAAAAAGTCTCCTCTCATCAACAGCTAAGAACATTTATGACAAAAACACCTCAGAAGACTTGGAGAGGAAGATTCCCCTGCTTTAGGAAGCTCTGCTCTTTGTGTATGGTATGCAAGGTGAGAATTGGTACAGTGAGAACACCTTGAATAGTAGCATTTCCTGGCTGAGCAGATTCTCTTTTGGGTAAAATCAGTTTGCAGGATGAGAGAAGTGGTTAAAAAAACCTTGACCAATCAGATCAGTCATACCTTACCCCTGCCCATTCACCTGAAAGGAATGAGACTTTTCCTAGCTAAACCAGTCTCTTCTTCCCTATGACAGATTGACAATGCACATACAGGGGAACAATAGATGTTAAACACTGATGGCTGATAAAACACACAGGGGAAACCTTCGTCCTTGACATCACCCAAGCTCATGTGAAGGAGAGTGGTGGCCACAGTGAGTCCTTAGGCCAAGGCTAAGTTGTGTCCTTCCAAGTACATTCATTCTAGGGAAGTACACTCATGTGGCCCTTGGGAATGGAAGGTTGGCAGGACTCATTTCCTCTGCATGAGCCAAGGCCAGGAGCTTTCTCAGTGAATGCAGCCAGTTCCAGCAGCAGGCCTGAGTACCAGATCATGCATTTTCTGTCCACACTGCTGGCTGCCAGTCCAGAGGGACTCAGAAATAGTTGTGCTTGCAATACCTCTAAGGGGGCTAATCTGCAGCAACCTGAGGCCACACATGTAGAGAGGGCATAAATGAGGGTCAGGTTTTGGTTCAGATGCAGGGCATGTGCAGGGTCTCACTGTCAGCAAGCTGTCAGCTGTGGCTGAGGCAGATGCCAGGCAAGTCTTGGGCCAGCAGTTAACTTCCAGTGAAGACACAGGGTGAACAAATTCACATCACTGACAACGATGGTTGATGAACAGCAAACACCACAGACAATTCCAAATGTGTACATATCTAAGGGTACAGGCAGTAATGATGATATATTTATGATAGCTGAGACATTTATTCATTACACACAAGACCAACAGGACGCAGAGTTTAGGAAATGCTCTGTTGCAGAGAGTGAGGATGATGCCACAGTAGTATTAAATATGAGGTGAAGGTCACAGCATTATGCCAAGGGAAGGATGAGTGGGTTAGCAGGGAAAGGCAATGGGCATGTGCACTGGTAGAATTATAAGTCTCAGAGTGCCAGACTGACTTGCAAACATGTGGTTGGCCCTGGGGCTTCATACAAGGTGCATAAGTGGGTCCAGCAGCACACAGAGCAGCTTTGTTCTGGGGTGTGCAGGAAGGGGAAGCAGTGAAGGAAAGGAGACAGGCATGTGAACAGAGCTGGCACTGGCATGTGAACAGTACATGATAAGAGACAAAAGCTGTATGAATTTCTTACCTCCCATAAATCCCAAGGTAAAGACTAAGCATGTCAAAGAGCAACAAAAATAAAACATGTTTATACATGATTATTTCAGCGAGTACAAACATTACAGACACTGATCAGACTGAAGCAGACATACACATTCAACAGCACTTATCTCTGCATGTTTTGAAAATATCTGTTGGTACATGAGTTTATACATTCCTGGGAACAGAAGACCTTTAAGGTCCCTTCCAACCCTTAACATTCTATGATTCTGTGGTGTCTTTGGATCAGCAGTAAAATACCTTGACCACTCTGCCATACAGGAAATAAATCTGACTGTTTTGATACCTAGGTTTCACTATTTTTGTACTCTGCTTACCAGTAGAAATTATTGATTTTTGACTCTCTTTTAATGACTTCTGAAGGTACTAATAGTTAGATTAGAACACTAAATATGCTATTGCTGAGCACTTTTGAAAAACCCCTTAGTGTAATATTTGTTGCTTGCTGGAAGGATAACAATTCCATTTTAAGTCAAATTTATCCTATGTCAGTATAACCAATTATCTGAGTTCTAGCTGGTAATTCAGAAAAAAAGTTGTTGGCTTGTTTTTTTTAAAAAGCTTATTCTTATTTATCTGAGTTCTAGCTGGTAATTCAGAAAAAAAAAGTTAATTTTTTTTGAAAGAAGCTTATCCTTACATGCAGCTTGTCCTGAAGGCAAGTAGACACAAAATGCTCGTGTACCCATATAAAGTTCCAAAAAAGAATATCTTTGCCATATTGGCATGTATCCAATGACGATAATAAGTATCTTGCAGATACAGTATTTTAATTTAGGGGAATCAAATGCCTAATGTTTGACGGCTCTGACAAAAAGAAGTCTTATTCCTACAAAAATCCGTGCCATACAGACCTGTTTAACACAATGATACTGGAGATGTACTATAAACAACCCAATTATGTCAATTACAAATTTTAGTGGCATCCACAGGCAAAAAATAGCCAGTTCACACACATAAAATGGAAAGTCTCAGTGAGGACAACAACCATATTCAGGATGCACCTCAAAGCCTCCAGTCATGTAGATGTAAAATGAGGCACAGTCCACCTGCCTCTGACAGAGGACAGGACCAGGTACAGGCCAGAACAGAATCAGGCATCTTCCTTTATGATACCACACTGTGATAGGCAGGAAACTGCTTCTCAACTATGAGTGCAAGCTGCGTCATACAGATAAAAAAGGGCTTCATATCACTTGAATATCCATTTACAGCCTTATTCACCTTAAGTAACTGCAGATTATCAAAGTGTCTGTTAATTAAAAATCCATTTGAGAGCAATTTATAGCAGGAGCACAGAGCTCAGGCTGAATTCCCATCCACAGAATAACAACTTTAGTACATACAGCATACAGAGGATGCTGCTCTAGGGAGGGACATACATTAAGTGGATCATCAGAGCTAGCCCAAGCACCCCACAAACACCTAGTCTCTGACTGTGGCCAGGCCAGCAGCCACCTGATTCTTCCTGGACTTCCACATCCAACAGAGAAGACCAAGGTCCCCATCCTGGGCACCCACCCAAGCCCAGCCACCCACAGCTCAGGTCCATGTCATCGTTCAGGTGGGTGCAAGCCAGTTATGAAGGGAGAAGGAACGGCGATATGAACCAACCTGGGAGGCGGGTGTGGGGGTCTTCCCCACAGTGGCATCTGGTTTAATGGGATCAAAATCCAGATCCAACAGGCTGGCTCCCTCCTGGAAGGGCCCAGGGGCATCAAACTTGGCAGCAGTGAGGGAGAAAAGTAGTATGAGCATTAGACACGCGCGTGTGCACGGTGGAGGGAGGGCTTGTGATATCCCAGAGCTGAGGCTGCAAGCGCAGAAGAAATGGTGGCAGCGCAAACACTGGATGTGAGTCCTGACTGCCTGGTGCCCACAATCCCAGGCAGCACACATGGGGGCCCTGCAAACCAAATCTGAGCCTTTTCCACAGCACTCATTCATCTTCCCACCTGGCCAAATGAGCTGACATGGTGTGAGCACCTGACCTGCTGCAGTCAAAGGGATCACAGCCACTGACGAGTGAGAAGGGCTGCTCCTCTGAGTGGATCTATTCCCCACAGCACATCCAGCTGCCTTTACACTGACAGATCAGCTTCCTCACCTACACATAAAAGAGCTCCCCATCCATACAACCCACCTCAGGAACAAAAATCCAGGCAGAATACCACTCAAACTGCTGGAAGGGAAGTCTGAGAGACCTCAGAGCTAACTCCCAAGGCCGCTAATTTCTTCCTGCCTTCTGAGTCAGAAACACAAAATATGGCAGCTCACCCTAGCTAAGGGATTTGAATCCCCCCCAACTCAAAAATGCTGCTTTCAAAAGCTTTCATTTGTAGGCATCCCATAAACTTACACATGTAAGCCTTCTAAAAAGCACACTTTTAGAATTTGAGAAGCTTTGCTATTTTCTTCAAAGTCATCAGAATAACTCCCTTTGAGTGAATAATGTTCTACCTATAGACAATGATCCCACATTTGCTGATTACCATTAATAAGAAATCACTACAAAGGACACAAATCATTAGCATTTAAGACTGGATTATCACTTTGGTGGTTTAGATTTAATCTAACTACAAGATACTGCTTTTACTCAGCTTCAGAGGAAGCTGCTGTCTTTGGGAAGTCAGAAGATTTGCTTTCCTATGACCCCCAGCTCACCGGCCCTACTGCTTCAGCTATCTTTTCAATAACACAAAATTTGGCAGGTTGGTCTCCACAGTTTATGAAAATCCCACAATGGAAAAGCTTCTGGAAAGTAGTAAGTCACACCCTTTGAGGTAAGTCCTCTGAATACCACCGACATCACCATCATTTTCACCTCTTTAATTTTCTCTTACTCCAATTTTCTTACAGATTTTTCTCTGCCTTATGAACATGTCTTTTGAGATCCACAAGGAAGAGGATGAGGATAAGGAACTAAGCTCTCATCTCAAAATAATGAGCCCTGACCAGCATGCAAAAACCAATTAGCATTCTAGTATGCTCTTCCAGCACATCCAAGCCACCCATCAGAGAGGTTACAACCCCAATCTTTAACTTTGTTCAGCAGTGAGACCTCAAAGGCTGCAGCGATGGAATAATCTTACCTGTCATTCAAGACTTGAATGCAAGGGCTAACACTCCTTGCCTTAACCCAAATCTCCCACAAGACAGCTCACTGGAAGTAAGACACCTGACAGGAAGAGCCCTGGGCAACACACTGAGTGCCAGGGGCTGCTGGGCCCTTCAGTGAAGATTGTTCTGGAAACCAGAGTCCTCCCTCAGAATTCCCATCTGGTCAAAAGTCACAACAGGTCCCATCCTGGCTCAGAGCACTGATCAGGTGCAGAAGAATATTTCTAAGGGCTGGCATTCACATAGAAATACATGATAGAGACCATGGGGCAGACAGAGCTGTCCATTACAATACAGGAGAAGGAAGCACAGATGATGATAAAGAGTTGCTCAGCTGCCTGCAGTCCCCGCCTTCCAGCAGTGATGTCAAATAATCTCTCCACTCTGCAAGTTTTATCTATTGCAATGCCAAATCTAACATGGACTTCCTTCCCTCCCCACTTCATCCGTGCCCCTCAGCAGCTGGGTGGAAGGTGGCAAACCAGAGGCAATGGAGCAGCGTGACGCAAAGAGAAATAAGAGAATGAGTGAGTCACAGATGAGCACTGATAGAGATATGATTTGTGCTTTAACAAGCATTTAGGGAATATATACACACATGTGTATACATATATGTGTGTATATATATTTAAATAAAGTAGATGCAGGCATCTCATGATACAGCCAGAAATCTGGTCAGGCTCCTATATACATAAGGACTGCCATTCTCCTAGACCCAACAGAGAACTTCCCACCTGGACAGCCTCTCTGGTAGTAACATAAATCAAAGAGAAAGTGAAGAGGAAAATCCATAATTTGAAAACTTTTTCCTTCTTCAGGGCTTCAGAAGGTGCCACTTGACAATACTGACAGACTGTGTCAGCAGACTTAAACTACAGGCACAGTCCTGCCCATGTAACTGCATCAGCTACTCTTTGCAAAGAGAACGTTGTCAAATCCTTTTGGCCTTTTCTGTGCAGACCTAGGCTTTAAACCACAAAGCCCACAGGTGAAGGCACAGAGAGCACAAAACTGTCTTCTCCAAGAACTGGCAGAGATGCCAGGATCAGCAGTTAGGGATGCACATGAGCAGAAAAAAAATGTTTCACCCACACTCAGGATCAGTGGGTTTGGAGAAAGCATAGCACACCACAGGATATGAAGAATGTCATAATCCATGTGCACTGCTGCTGAACAAATGCAGTGATTACTTTCTGGTATCTTGACCAGGTGCATTTCTCCTGTTTCTTCTGTGAATGAAAGCTCTCAAAAGGCAAGCTGTTACTGCCTTTTAGGTACTCTCCCCTTTAAGTCAGCTCCTAAGTAATCCTTTGTCTTCTGAGGTCCAATGCTGAGCTTGCCTTCCTCCTTTACCTGACCAGGTTTCATGGCTTGACACCTCCAAAGAGAAGAATGGTCTGAAGGAAGAGTTCAGAGGCAGAGAAAAATTAGGCAGGGCATAGCAGCTAACCTGCGAAGGGGTTGTCACACTTATCTCGGGGACAAAATTGTCATCAAACAGACTGATGATGTTCTCCTGCTTGATCTCCTTGGAGGGAGTGACTTTTGGAGGCGGAGGCACCGGAGGCCCTTTCCTCAACTGCATGCAAGTGAGCACATGGCCACAGCACAGACGGCGACACCCAAAAAAACCAAAGACAGGAACCAGGTTAGTCACAAAAACTGAAGGTGAGGAAAATCACAACCACTGGCACAGAGCAGGCTCCAATCAACTCCATCTGAAGAGAGAAGGGAAGGGGTGAAGGGTTGAACTGAAATAAAACAAAATAAATAACCACACGCCTCCAGAGAAGGTTTGGCATCATTAGTTACACTTCAGCCGTGGGCAAGTTTCCCTCTGCAGAGGAGAAGCGTAACACAATTAATATGCATTGACAGGACATGCATACATAATTAAAGCATGTGCAACCTTCAAAAGAACCACTGGGAAGGGAGCAGATCAATTACTGAGAACATGATCCAAGAGAACAGGCCAGCACTGCCTCCCTTTGCCATACTCACCGTACCTAAGGGAATGAGGGAACAGACTCCATTTGTCCTACAGTGGGCAGGTGGCCATGAGGACAGACTCATCTGCCCAGTACTGGCTCCCTGGCTTCCACTGTGCTGTAAGAAAGGTCTGCAGGAGCTCTTGATGGCATCTCAGCTTTAGGCAAGAACAACTCAAACTCCTGAGAAGCCATGACTGCTGTGAGCCCAACTCTGCTCTCAGTTTCACCAGTGAGCATTGACAGTAATGAGTTGTGTCTCCCAAATGGAGATCCCCGAGAATACATAAACCACCTCACTCTGTAACTCTAACCCATTCTATTACCCCTCATCATGCTAAAGATTCAGCCTGACACTGCATCCACACCCCATGGAAGCTGTGGTAGACCCCGCCTAGACCAACCCATCCACATAACTTTTCATATTTTGCTGTGCACAAGGCTTAATGATCATTTTTAGATCAAATCAGACTTTGAGAAGCTGCTGCTGTGTTGGAGTAAATCAGCCATACAAGTTCCCAGCACCACAGCAATGCTCAGCAATGATAGTGTTTCCCACTTACAGTGAAGTTTTCCAGCTACTTGATCTTCTGACTGCATCCAAGGCAGCAAGACCCAGAGACCTGACCATGTGCACCCAGTGTATAGTGTCAAGCCCAGATCTGAAACACAGAAATCCCTTACTCCCAAGGCCTGTGTTCACACTCCTCCAGCACATAAATGAGTTCTACACAGCCTTTATTCAGATTTCTAAGAAAATCCCCAGTTTTCTACTGGATTAATCTACTTTTGAGAGAGTGATTGTGTATGAAAACACACTTTTTTACCCCTGAATAGCTAGCTAGGGGAAATAATGGAAGCATGTTCCCTTCCAACTTTTTGTTTGCAGAAGGTGGTGTGTCCATATTCCCTGAGAACAATTCTGTCCTGAAAATTCCCTGTCTTCCAGTTGCAAGAAGAGACCAGAAGTTTCAGGGAAATGCTGTTCTCAGAACAGAACCACCCTCTGCAGAAATGGAAGGCTCCAATTACTAACTCTCAAGTTAAAAATATCACAACTCTTCTTCTATTTATTCCTCTAATATGAATAGTCAGTATCCTTCATTCCAATGCAATAGTGTCTTAGAAATCACCACTTCCACACTATCCAGCATTACTTCCAACAGCAGTCTAAAACCACATTTCAAAGACAAGATGATTGCATATTGATGCTGGGTTATACCCATAAATTCATCCTGCACTAACAACTTTGTTGCCTAGAATAGAATACATCCTCTAAAATCCTTCTGCTGACTTGGATCTCACAGAGCTTTATCTGCACAAATTCCACAGAGTTGCACTGATTTCCAAAGTCTCATTACAGAGTTTCAGTGGTGTAACTGAGAGCAGAAGTCTGACCTTTTAAGTTTCACAGATCTCTTGAAGTCTTGTGTCATCACCAAATTATTCTGTGGAGAGCTACGAGCATTCACTTTTTCCAAAAGACAGAAATAAACTGTTTTTAAAAATTAAATGGCAGTAAAAGAGTTTGAGGTTGTTTTGGGTTGTATAGGGAACAGTTCAAAATTTAGTTAGCATTTATTTGATCACTCCTGGTGTTGTCTTTCTCTCCACGGCCTTTGCTTACACTTTACATTGGTATTTCAGACACAAAGAGGCCAGGGAATTGGTCTTGCTTGTTACTTTGTGCTCCATCCTCCCAAAGAGGGTGAGGCTCCTCAGCCTCCCTCAGAGGACCACTGCACAAATCACTTACCCATAGGTCAAAAGTAATGACACCTGTGAAGATTTCAGTGCTAAAGTCAGACACTGTTGAGAGAGCAGACACTTGTGTTCCCAGCTGCCTGGTAAGCTGACACACTCTTGGTTTCTAGATTTTATCCACACAGACACCAGGCTTGGCTTTGAGTGAAACTCCTGCCTTTGTCTTCCCTGCCTCTGGAGCCAGCTCCAACTCTTATTAGCTACAGTGAACACGGAGTGGAACTCTTCATGATGCCTGGGGGATGAATTAAACACAAACTGGGAAAGGGCTGCCGGGCGGTGGCAGCATTGGCTGCAAATGTCATTTCAGTCTTGCCTGTGGCCCGTCCAAGCCAGGGCTGTGCTGGAATATCCTGCTTGTTCCTCAAGGGGTGCCTGCAGCCCCATTCCTGCAGGTGGGCAGGCAGCAAGTGAAGGAGAAAGCGCTTGCAGGCTGGCAAAAACAAGGGTTATGTGTGCTATTTAAAGGAAAGGGAAGAAACCAAACTCAGCAAGTTGAGTCCACAGGCGGGGTGAGTGAAGTCTGTTGTGAACAGCTTAATAAATCTCTATATGATTTCTTGTTCCAAATATTACTCAAGTTCTGGAAATCTCTGGGGGGAAAAGAAAAAAAAAAGAAACCTGCAACAGAAGAGCAATTTTGGATATCCTATCTTCTCTCCCCCACACACAGCCTACTCCAAAGGTCCTAACCAGGTTAGTGGTGAAGCCATGGGAGGCTCTGCACTGCTGAGCTGTTCAGAGACCCTGGAGAAGTCCTGAAAAGACACTGCCAGGCATCCACACATCTCAACAGGCTGGAAAAGAAATTTTGCCGCACATCCCCTTCCTGTCCCTCACTAATCCTAAAAATCAAATATGCAGTGGAGAGAACAATATAGTGAGAGACTATCTAGAAACAGTAGAAAAACTACCCTAGAGGCTTGGATTTGGAATCACACTGCTAGGATGGGAACAGCAAGGAAGTTCCGGGTTGCACCCATCTCTTTTCACAGGCAGTGTGTTTTCTCACCAGTTTGGCCAGAACCCCTCTTAGTTTTAATTCTTCCTGGAAGACTTCTCCCAGTGTCCCACTTACTGAAATACAAGGATTGGAACCCAACATAAATTTGGCCTAGTTACTAATTTTCCCTACTAGGTTTTTCCCCCACTCAGCAACAGAGGGACAGGGAGATGAAGTAAATATTTTATCTTTCCAAAGTAAAACACACAGATGATATGCTGAGTAGCTGTATCTACTATTTTGAACATGATGCTGGATATTTCCTATGTAAGGAAAGGCCTAATGAAGGCCACATGGAAGGTATCAGACTCCTTACAATGGACTATCTTCTTCCTGGAACTCACCTAATTTCTTCCTATCATAAAAATATAATCCCTTTTTTTTTAGCATAATATTTTATCTTGATAGTAAGGTGAAGCATCATCCAAAGTACAGATGTTCTTCTTATAATATTAAGCTGGGTTTTTTAACCTTTCTCAGCTACAGAAGTTCTTAAAAAGAAACTAGACCACTGAATTCCACTGATTAATTCAAACGTAAAGAACAAAACTCCTTGCCTAGTTATAACTCCATCCTCCCTGGATCTTCTTGGCCATCCTGTCAGACAGCAAAAAGTATTTCTGGCCTTCCCCCTGTGAAACCATTCAAAGACACTCAGTTGTTATAATAGAAAGACAGCAAATAAGCAACTTGAATTCTTAGGAACTTTCTCAGGAACCAGTGGAAGAGAACAACCATCATGTGATATTCTGTGAGCTCAGTGGCAGGATGAGGTCTAGAGAGCACTCACAGAGCTTGTGCCATCAGCAGAGACATGGTCAATGTCATGGGGACACTACCTGAGACGGTGACTTTGGGATGCTTGCCCCAGGTGCTTCCAAAGTGGACGGTTCCAGCTCATGGTTGACAGTCTTGGTCTCAGGGCTGGTGATGGGAGATCCATCTGGTGGAGGCGAAGGGCTTTTATTTGCTTTCGCTGGGGTGCTGTCACTGAAGGAAGTGGAGAGAGAAAGGGGGAGACAGGGGGAGAGAGAGGGGAAGAAAAAGAGAGAGAAGTCTGAGCCAGGCCTAGGAGGAGCTGTGCTAATCAGCACAGATCAGTGGCCTCCATTATCTCTTTGCTTCACTGCCCAGATATGCAGTGAGGACATTTGGAGCTCCTGAGAAGCATCTTTGCTGAGTCACTCGCAGTCCAACACACTGCAGAAGCACGACTTGCAGCAGGCTACTCACTAAATGCCTACAGAACTTACATACTTGCCTCAAACACAGAAAAACAAAAACAAAACAACCAGGCATCCTTAATTTTGCCAGATTTTCATATGCCTGATGTTAAATTATAGTCTTTAATACTGGGGAAGCAGATGGGGAAAGGAGTTCAGTGCTGCTCATTTAGTTTTAAATTCCACAGACTGGAATTTTTCTGTGTGGTAATCTATGGACCTCTGCATGGGTTATGACTAATAGATTCACAACACCTGAACTAAGGCTGTAATCACAGAATACCTTATTCCTTGATGTGGTATGAACTGACTAAGCCAGTAGAGAGGCGAAGTAGCCAGAGGTTTCACATATCATTCCAGACAGCAAAGGAACAGTGAGGTTCTGGCTACTAACAGAGATTTCTCTATTATAAAAAGTCTCCCTAGTTGATCTCTATTCCAAGACTGTTTCTGACACACAGTCAAGAGGGATTCTTCAGGAAATTAAGATGCAAGAAGCATATGCCAATGGCATTTGTTGGTTCACAGCTTGGACACATTTGGGCAGATTTTTCAAAGGAATGGCAAGAGGCACATGCCTTTCCCTTTCCCTACAGGCGTGCCCTGGCTGGGTGTCAAGTCTCTGCTTCAAAATACAGAATTCGTGAGAGATTTAGTAAAGAGTTGGTTACCAGAGAATTTCAACAGGGAAAATTCACTACTGGGGGATATTTTAACAGAAGTGGTTACAGTTGGGCAAAACCATACACAGATCAAAATATAATATCACAGCATATTATAAAAAGGGCTGTGCAACCTCATCTACAGTGATATTTGACTTCACTAAAAGTCACAGTTCCTGTGAAATTCAAGGCCTTGAGAGAAGCTGAAAGAAACAGACCCTTTCCTACAACTTGAGACACTAAATCCTGGCATAGAGCCAGCACTAAAGCAAGATCTGATTCTGCAGGGAGATCAAGTAATTTATTACTTTGCTCTGTCCCAAGAGAGCCCAGAGCCTCAGACATGTACATCCACTCACACTTGAATGTCTGTGCTGTGGTGGTCACTAGCCAACATGCAGGATGGCCTCATTCCTAAACATTTGCTTGCAAGTGGGGAATAGCAAGAGGAAAAAGGGATAGCAAGGCATTTCAACAAACCTCCTCTTACAAGCAAGCATCTCACCCTGCTCAGCATTCCAGCTTTCAAGCTCCGCATCCCATTCCTTCTTCATTCACTTTCTCTTCACCCACCCCCCCCAACTTTCTCCCCCATATCCACACCCCACACACACATTTCCCCACAAAGCACTCTTCTCAGGTCCACATGCAGGTTGGATACTTCTGATGACACTGATGCCAACAGCACACCAACATGATGCAACAAACCAATGACATTCTCTGCCAGCAGCTCTCAACCAGGGGCACACACACCAAGGGAGAAAGAGGGACATGAAGAAGGAAAAGGGAGGAGGAGAGAGTAAAGAACACGTATGCCAACAGGTATGGAAACCCCTGCAGCTCTTCAGTCTGACTGAACAGTGTCCTTCCTCAAAAGTTCCCAGAAATCACTTCAATACCTGGGGTCTGTAAAGAATTCTGAAAAAACTGACAGAAGTTGTGCTACAGATTAAAAGTAGTAATGGTTGGAGGGTGAAGGTAAAGTCCTGATCTAAACAGGAGCTACCAGGAAATGTCGAAGAACATCCTCTAATGCCAGAGTTGGGGGAAAAACAAGTGCATGTTACCTCCCTTGGAGCTGAAAGCACTTTGAGAAAATGGGGGACACAGTGATTTACATCTAGAGTGCCAGGGCTTCCCAAATGCCCAGACTGCACTGGGAATACTGGGACTATCAGCTGGCCTACCAAGACAAGGGCAGACTTTTCCTTCTAGGGACTTCAAAACGCCAATTCTCCCAGCGAGAGAGGAGTTCAGGCTTATTTTCTAAAGGCCGTGGAACAGTTTTGTAGTGACTTATTTCCAGTGCCTGGCAGTGACTTAATTTGGAGATATATTGGTAAAAGGCTCCCATGTGAGTCAGCCCCTGAAGGATGAGGGGAAGAATTGGGCTGTGAGGGGCCAACACTTAAGCCTTCGTTAAGTCACTACTATTTACAGCTTGTTTGATGTGTTGGCCAGTCCCCCTAGGAAAATGCCAGTGCTAATTTTGGCTGAGCCTTTTTCAGCCCCCTGAGCGGCACCTTCATTCCTGCACTTGTTGCTTTGTAACTCGGCTGAATTTAGCCAGTGCAACCAGCATCAAGTGAGATGGTGACCAGGATCCTCTGTCCTTCACATGTCCCCAGGGAGCACATACTGCCCACACTGCTTGCTCCAGAAAACACAGGAAAAAGCAAGAGTGCAGGGACTCTACCTACTGACCAAACATGAGCACCACAGTAAAAGCAAGCCAAAACAACAAGGTCACTGCTCTTTTTCCTTCCCATGAGTAAATGGGAAGTGATGCCAATTCCAGGAATATCAGGCAAGGAAAGGAAAGGGGTGTCAACTTTCTTCTGCAAACAGAGAGCTGGAAAGAGAGCTGGGTCTAATACAGCTGAAGGGAAAGTCAAAATCCCCCAGCCTCTTTTAGTGCTGCTGAGCTCCCAGACACTCCAAGGTGCTGCCTTATATGTTCTGGAAGGGAAGAGTAACATCTGCAGATGAGTTTCCCTTGCACTTGTAACAATCCTACATCAAAAGATAAAACCTACTTTCCAATATGGTAAAAACAGAGCAGTCACGTCCTGCCAAGTTCTCAAGTCAAAAAAGAAAAAAAGGTTGGCATCTCAGTTAACACTCAGACTGGGTCTTTTAGCCAAAAGTGATGAATTTTTTGCCACCAGAGCATGCTGGAGAATTATTTAGAAATTAAAAAAAATTTTAAAGAAATTAAAAAATTAAAAGGAGTGGGTGGAAGAAAGAAGGCAAAAAGAACCTACATGCCCAAACATATGGTGGCACAAATGTAGATTCTTGCTGCAGATCAAAGACTGACCGAGTTCCACATCCTCCCTCTCTGCACTAGGGACAGCACATTTCTCTGTGACCCCAGCAGCTGCTCTGACAGCACAAACCCCCAGTAGAGCCCAGGTCATGCACCTTTATGGCTGGGTCAGCTGGACTTTACCAAGGCAGAGCAGGAGCCCATGGTGAGTAGAGCTCATCAAGGGGAGGTTTACTAGCCCTCCTTCTGATGTATAATCCATCCACTCTCAATGACTGGAAATACTAGACCTCCTGCCTGGCACAGATACAACACCAATCCAACCAAGACCAGAGATCCAGAGGGTACTCCAGTTCCTACAGTAGAAAACCTCAAAACAGTGACAACACAATATATTGCTTTTCTACTTGCATTTGAAGATATAAACATCTAAATTTGCCCATCAGCTTCCTTGTGAAATTACCACTTTTCACTCTCCAACCTCCCACTTTACAAAGTATGCACAGCAGACACAAAGAGAAGGGCTGCATGACTTGCCCTAATCAGTGGGAAGCCAGATCAGGAAAAACAAGGATCCCAATCCACCAGCATTTTCTTTTCTTGCTGGCAGGACACCATCTTGATGATTATAATTTTTTTTCCTCCCTGTAAGGATCTCATGGAGGAAGTACCAACACAAAAAATAAGAAAAACAAAAAACAGTCCCACTTTACAAAGTATGCACAGCAGACACAAAGAGAAGGGCTGCATGACTTGCCCTAGTCAGTAGGAAGCCAGATCAGGAAAAGAAGGATCCCAATCCACCAGCACTTTCTTTTATTGCTGGCAGAACACCATCTTGATGATTATAATTTTTTTTTTCCTCCCTGTAAGGATCCCATGGAGGAAGTACCAACACAAAAAGTAAGAAAAACAAAAAACAGGAATTTTCCATGCCAGCAGTTCCCACTTTGCTCCAGAGCATGTTCTTGTCAGGGTCCTTGACTCCAGACATTGCAGCAATCCAGATAATCAATGTCATCACTGTTTTAAAGGCAAGATGCAGACATTTGTCTTTATACAACACAAGAGACCTCCTTTTCCTCCAGGCACTCGCAAAATTTTAAATGGACAGAGCAAGATAGTGAGGATCCTCAAGAACAGAGCAAGCAAGGAGCAAAGCTGGAAGTATTCTTCTCCCACCTCATCATTCTCCCAATTGCAACAAGTAGATAGGATAGGACTCCTGAGTGTGAAAGACCTGCCTACTGGTCCTCCCTGGCTAGGCAGGGGATGAGAATGCAGCATTTCAGACCTGTTCAAAAGGACAAGCCCACTAGGTAAAACTAGAAGCTGTTAAACACCAAAATTGATTATACTTCCCATGGAAAACCCAGCACTGCATTTTCCATCACACAAAAACAACTGGACAGACAATGCCTGAGTTTTCACACTGCCTTCTTAGATAGGAAAAGAAGCAAGGATTCAAACCAGGCACACAAGCAGTTAATGGCATTATCCAGACACAGAGATCTCAGCAGGACCCAGCAGGCCACAAACACATCTTATCATGCAAAGGACCCCTCTCCCACCACAGGGTTAACACGTGCCAGGCTGTTAGAGTCCAGCAACAGCCTCTCCAGTTTTAGGAACTAAATGAAACACGTATCGAAATGCTGCTCTCCATACCGGTACCTGCTCATCTTTTTCCTCAGCCTGGCGAACAGTTTAGTTTTCTTTCTGTTGAGGATGGCACGCAAATCATTTCAGTTACAGGATGGCACAGTCAAACCAGGGAGGAAAAGTTAAGCTTCCAAGTACCCATTTAGCTGGTGCCACAAAACTTGCTGTAATTAAGATGACAGGATCTCCTCTCTCTCTCACACACACACACAAATACACACATGCACACTTCCCTTCATCACTAGCAAGCTATGGCCTGGTTTGGAGAAAGCAAAAGAAAATAAAATATACATACATATCTATATCAAAATGATATAGATATGTCAAAAATATACATACATATCTATATATATAAGCAAACTAGAACTTTCCCTGCACTTTGGAACATGGGGCCAGGGTGCAAATGGAGAAGAAGAAAAAGGAAACTGCACAGACCACCTGAGTACTGTAAATGTCCTTTCACAGCTCCTCACTCTCCCCTGTGAATATTGCTGCAAAAGAAACAAGCTCCCCATTCTTCTTTTCTTATGTAGACTGTGCAGTCTTATACATGGGACCTACTCAGCAGCTTTCCTTCCATGTCTTTTTCCAGTTTGCCCAGTCATACCAGGATAATCCCACAGATCTCCTCAGTCTTCTAGGCATCTGAGCCCTGAACATTCCTAACTCTTTCAGAAGTAAATCCCAAACATAGGTCTGAGGTTCCCAGAAATGCACCAGCTCTTCTGTGCTACCCTGCCAGCTCCAGATACATCAGCCACAGTAGTATTTCTGGAGGGCCTCACATGAATGCTATAATGATGTGCACAGATAACTGCCTCTCTTCTCACACCTCCTCATTCATTTCCTGCCATTGTATCAATCTCCAGTCCTCTTCCCAGTGGAAAAGGGTTAGGGAAGCATCTGCTCCTACTGCAGACCCCATGAGATGAGTGAGGGCCATTTCCTCCTGCACACTCTCACCCCAGCCCTGCACCACAATGAGAGGCCAGATGTGCAGCAGACACAGAAGAGCCTCACAGCATTTCCTGGTCACTGCAGAGCTACCCTGACAAATCTTTGCTATATCCTCCTACAACACCCTGCTCCAGTGTGCTGACAAGGAAGAGATTCACTCTGGGGCAGGTCTGGCCCCTCAGCTGAGATGCAGAGAGCAGGTGATGAAGCAGCAGCACTCAGACTGCTGCCCACACAGGAAGCCCTGTGCATGCACTCAGCTTTGGGTTTTAGGGCCATGTGGTCTCCTAGCCACAAAGGGCACAGAACTGCAACAGAGACACTTGTTACAGCCCCAGAGCAAGCTAGCAGGCTGGGGGAGGAAGAGGGCAGAAGCTGTACAGAGATGGGGCAGGAATTGTAAAAACAGGTAATTTGTTCATTGAAAGCTCTTTAAGGCCAGACACTTTCCACCTCAACAGCAATGGACATCTCTGGGCCAGGCTGCCACTACTGCCTACAATCAGTTCCTCGAGGAATAGAGAAAGGAGGAAAAAGAAGCTGGGCAAAGCAATAGCTACAGCCTTCATCTGTCCTGTTACCTCATCCTCCTCCAAGGACCCTGCAGGATGCTGCTAACAGACACAACACAGCCCATGGCAGCAAGAGGATGGGCACCACAACCTCCTGCTGTTGGAAGGGAAGAAGATATTATTTTCACAAGGAGCATTCCAACTAACATCACTGAAATCTGCTGTCAGCAATCCAGAATTCAGGGGCCAAAATTCAACTCAAACCATCTCTTTCTTTAGACTTGGCAACCACCACACTGGAAGAATTGCTGGGAGAAGACATGCAAGTCATCTATGCATGACTGCAACAGGTTAAACTGGGAGGGGACACAAGGGAGCACAGAGGTCTCAACAGCTGATCTACCCCTTCTAAACCAATGCACTCAGACCACAGCTTGCCCTTACTTCATGCTGACTTCACCAGCTCCCTCCATCAACACAGCACTTGAGGACCTGGGCTGTGCTCCTGCTCACCCAGCATGTGGGATTAGCAGCAGCTGGAAGCCAGAGCCCAACACTATTTCATCACTCGTGCTCTTGGATGGGAGCCAGTCAGCCTAATCCAGAGCCCAGCCCCTCCCTCCCTTCTCAGTGCTAGGGAATGTGCAGACTTGCACTCAAACATACAGGACAGGAGCCAGCTGAGGAAAGAAAACTGAAGGCCCAGAGGACACTCACTCCTTGCACACACACGGGTTGGAAGTGCTCCGAGTTCAGGAGGCCTCGTACTAGTGATGCTGCAACAACTCCCACAACCCACAGGAAGGAGAAACACACGGCAGCTGGCTACACAGGATGGCATAAGGCTTTGGCAAAATGGTGATTCCATGTTTGGAGGGCCAAAAAAGGGGCTGGGGAAATGAGCTCTTGGTGCTCAAGCTGACAAGCTGCAGGTACATGGTGGGAGCTTTTGAGGGAAAGAACAGGAGAGGTGCTGGGCAACTGGACCCAGAAGGAAGGGCAGCTCAGCAGCTGGAATTAGATTTTAAAAGCAGAGCTGAGAGGCAGTTGCCTAAATATCAGGACCTAGTGACCGTTTAGGCCTGCAGATGCTATCCTAGAAAGGTAAGAGGTATTGGATTGCATCATGCAGTGCCAAGTGCAATCTTGGGCATGGCTCTAGGAAGCCTCAGGAGGGCAAATCACTTACAACTGACAGCTTGGAGGTTTCAATACCCCTGGGTAGGTAGAGATATCCCTGTCCCACCTCCCCTGCTGAGGGAAAGACACTACCCACAGTTACTGACCTGGGCTGTGCTTTAACAGGGAAGGCATTGCCTGAGTACTGCTTGTCTAGACCCAGCAGGACATCGTGAAGATTTTGGTTCAACTGCAAAATACAAAAACAAAAGACAGAAAAAGAATGAGAAAGGAGCTCAGATGCCAGAAGAGAGCCTGGGCTGGCCTGGACAGGCTGACCAAATACAAGCTTGTGCAGGACATGCACGAGTTCCTCAGTTATCCCAAGAGAGGACAACTCTAAATCTATTTCCACTTCTCTGTGGGCTTTGCAGTGCTGCAGCACTTGAGCTATCAAAGAGCTGCTGGCATCTCTGGGAATGCTCTGTCTTCCTTAGAGATCATCCTCTTTGCTTTCCCATCACCCAGGCCCACCAGTGTGCTGCCAGGTACCACTGCAGAAGCAGGTTGATTGTTTCCCTAAGATCTGTGTGCTGCAGCTTCACTCAGGATTTGTAGCCAAAAGCTGTTTCTCAGACCTGCTTACCAAAGCTTGGGACATGGCCATTTCCACTGTGGAGCCAAAGGCAGCTGGCCTTCAGGTGAACAACCCTCAACTCACCAGCTGCCTGGGCCAACCAGGCTTGGGCAGAACCTGGATGTCTTTGCAGACATGGCCATTTCCACTGTGGAGCCAAAGGCAGCTGGCCTTCAGGTGAACCTGGGCCGTCCAGGTTGGGCAGAACCTGGATGTCTTTGCAGGAATGTAATATTAGGGGTTAAACTCTCCCTGGCACTGAAGGCTGCAACTCCAGACACTCCTATTCTGAAACAGCCAATCCATGAACGAGACAAGATGCTGGATTTATCACTGGCAGGAGGAGGGATCCCATGAAATCAAGGTTGGAAGCATTGTGCAGGCAACACCAGCAATTAATTGGATGCTGTAGCAGTAATAAGAAACAGATGGTTCTTATGGAGCAAAGCAAAGGCCCTGCCCTCATACAATATTCCTGCAGAAAGAAAAGTCCTGACAAGAAAAATCATACAAGAAGAGAATTCCTGTCTAACAAGCATCTTTCCCATGTTTTGTTGAATGTGAATTAGCAGCAACAAACTAGTAATTCTAACAATCCTCCCTATTCTTAACACTTAGTTCATCCCTCAGCGGAGAAGAGCAGGCTATTAACTGGAAAAGACCCCATAAAATGTCAGCAGGGCTCAAAATTGATGTGTTACACCAAGGCAGAGGGCCCCTGACTGCTGGGATTTGAAGGACTATAATGTTTCCTGTTGCTTAGTGGCTGTTTTGTTGTCAGGATGACATGAGGGAGCACAGGGAATATAAGGGTTTTCCAGCTGGGCTCTCAGTCCCGCCTCAAGATTAGTGCAACATTTACATTTCCAAGCAGCATACAGACCTAAGGATTCAGGATTTCTCTAGCTCTTAACTGAAAGACAAGAACATATCTGTAAATGACAGGGGACTTTCCCACAGACTGGTCCTGAGGTCTCCTGTGAGTGCTGCCACACAGCACCAGGATCTGCCTTGCCAACACTGCTTTCTGTTGTGATTCCCAACTCAAGGCACACTGGTAGCCCACAAAAGCCCACACTAAGTACTTAAATGTCTTCTTTTGGGTCACAGGGCAGGACAGAAGCCAAAGCAGAGAGGTACTGTGGGGGAGAGCCTTTTTGAGGGACTGGAGTGAGGCATGTCTTAGTCTTCAGTCAACTTGCAGACTCCCTGGCTGGTGTTAACCCCACACCTGGGTACAGTGAGGGTACACAGCAACTGGCTGCCAGGCAGCAGAGGGGGAGGAAAACAGATACCATACCATTACCAGGTTATAGGTTACAGATCCTTAATGCAGATGAACTAAAAATGGCAGCAAGAGAAAGGTCTAAGAGTGGCTTCCCTTTCCTCTGTGGATCTGGAAATGAGTGCTGTCAAGTGACATGAACTCCCCACTGCTGCCCACAGCTCTGTGTTCTCTTCCCTGTGCTCCATCCCTTTACATTACTGTGTCAGACTGCCTTTGTCCTATGTGGCTCAGAAAAATACCAAGGGTTTGTATTATGCTCCAACATAGGGCCATTTTCTCCAACTGTTTTTTAGCTTGAGGTTTTGGGGTTTTTTTAGTTCTTTTCTTTGGTTTTGTTTGAGTTTTGTTTGTTTGCTGGATCTTGGGTTTTGTTTTTCTTTCATTAACAGTGAAGAGACAGTAAGGAGGAGAAGCTGTTGGTTGCCTTACCTTGCTCATTTCTTTATGGAAGTTCTCTTCTAGGCCAGCTATACTCTGGAATGTGTTGACATAGAAACCAACACGACTGCCAAATGAAAAACAAGACAGAAGAACTTAATGGGCACAATGCTCTCTCAAAATCTTTCAATCCTGCCCTTTCTGCTACCTCCCACCCACCATTCCCATGCAAACTCAACTCTGTCATATCTGGTACGTGTGAGAAGAGAGGGTGGCAAGGAAACAGAACAATGAGCAAAGGCCAGACATGTCCGGGGGAAGAAGAGACTGAGTAGAACAGGATTTAAATTTACACTGGCTAAAGTTAGAGGGAGGTATAGGGTGGGGAGGAAAAAAAATGAAATAAAAAATTCAAAAGAAGCAGGGGGGAAAAGCACCAGCAGTAGAAAGATGGAAAGAAAAATGGATAGATGCTGTGATGCAGACAGTGCTGGGAGAGCTGGGGGAATTAGCAGGGGGACAGATATTAATTCATCCAGAAGTCCCTTAGCACCAGGGAATCAAAAAAAGCATGAACTGTTTGCTTCAGGGGCAGAAAGAGTAAGAAAGCAAAGGATAGCACAGAGAGCAACACGGAAGCAGAAGGATCAGCTGGAAAGCAGGAGCCTGTGAAAAACCTGTGGCACTTTAAAATGCCAGCAGCAGCCTGTCACCAGCCTGCCAGCTGCCAACAGGGAGTGCTCTACCAGCACCCAGCCAAAGGAGCAACAGCAGGAGGGAGAGGAGAGGCTGTCCAAGGCCAGCAGCATCAGGGCTCTGCACAGAGAACCACCCAGATGCCTCTGTCCCTCCCAGCTCCTTCCCCAGCCAGGCCTGCAGGCTGCTGAGAGCAAGGAGTTCTGACTCAGGCTGGTGGAAAGGGGAGTGAAGGCAGACATCAGCACTTTGCTTTGCCACCCCACTGCTGCCCATTTTCTCAATCCTCACAAACCAGCACTGTCAACCTGAACACGACCACTGCATTTAAAAATAAGAAACTGGGACACTGCTAGGAAATGTCTGCCAGTTTTCCACTGTGCTGTCCCCATAAATCAGCTTCTGCTGCCCTGCAGTTCATCCCCCCAAGCTAAGTGTTGGTCTTTGCTTCACCTCCCTTTTCATCACCACAGTCACTGGCATGGCAAACCCATGGTCTCTCAAGTCTTTCAAGAAAGTTGAGCAGAGCTGGTAGGGCAAAGGGATTAAGCAGACAAAGCAGAGAAATACAGCTTCTCTTTGTGGTAAAATCATGTTTTTCAGGAAAATCATGAAGTAAAGCACAACAGTGAACCTGTGGCTGGGGGGAATACCAGGACAGACAGAGACGATCCAGAAATAAAAAAGAGCAGACACCCAGTCTAGGCTAAGAAGAATTGCGATCCAAGAGCTTGGATATTCATTTCCTTCCAACCAGCCCCTGGGAAAACTTTCAGCACTCACCTATTCCATAGTGAAGGCAGTTCCTCCTGCAGATCAACATTCATCTCTTCAAACACCTTCTGAGCCTTTACCAACTCTTCTTCAGCCTTAGCAACAGACAAGGGAGACTGTCAGCTCCAGCACAGACAAGTACCCTGCAGGGCTGGAACAACTGTGACTCTTTTGACTTCTCTGGGAGACCAGGCAAAATTCTGGCATGAGATAACCAGCATCCCAAATGAGTCTCCCAGGAACCAGGGCTGCACTATAGGTGACCCTTTAGGTTGAATGTGTTCCTCTCAGGTTCTCTCAATGGATTTCCTCATTTATACACTCAGCAAGTAATTCAAACAACCAATGATGTGTTTCAAGTTCTTTAAATTTCCCTGACTTCAAAAACTGAAAGGAGTTGGTCAGGCAGTTCAGCCTTCAGCTTGGATACAGGTGAAGGTAATCAGGGCCTCTGTCCCTTGCCAGATCTCAGAAAGAGTTGAAATCCATCCCAAATGGCATTAGAGAAGAATCCTCCCTCTTGGGAACTCTGCTGAGGTAAGGTCATGCCAAAGCCCCATCTCCTATGAGGAAGAGAGGAGGTCTGCATCCTTGGCCGATACAGCACTCCCACAAAGCTGACTGGAGAAGCAAGGAAGGGTATGCAAAGCATGAGTTGTGCCAGAGGGAGGCCAGGCTGCAGGGCTTCAGCAGCACATCTTGGTTTCCATGGTCTCACAGAAGTGCAATCCCAGGCTGACCATTGGCCCCAACTCCAGAACTGATCTCCTTCTCTCAGATGAGAATTTAAATTTGATCTGTTCATTGAACCTAGACACTGACAGATTCCAACACTGATGGATGAATTCTGTCAGGTTTCAGCAACAAAAAGGATGCTCCTGGTTTCTGTTGCTGACAGCAGAAGCCAGCAACAAGCACATGCCCTTTCCTACATCTGTCCTAGGTCACCTCTTTCTCTTTTCAGTACCCTGACTTAAAGTTCTCTAATTAAAATGTTTCTATTCTGTAATCTATAGCAGCACAGCATTCTGCCATGCAGTGAGATATATAATGGAAAAAAACCCTGCAAAAGCAATTTGTAAGGTCAGCACAAGTACCTATATTTGTGACAACAGCAGAAATTTCACAACACCACAGGCCTCTGCAAAGAGCCCACAAGCTATGGAAGCTGGATCTCCCTACCAGCCTGTAGTCATATTCCTACACCTTCTATGAAATCAAATTTTATCTTCTTTGCGTCAGCTTAATTAAAAAAAAATCCAGCTTACTGCTCCTTAGTGGCAGTTATATACAATGACAGGAATGATGGGAGCAAGGGCTTAAAAATATATTGCAGTTCTGAATCCTGCTCCTCACAGGAATCACTCTCCATTACATAGAGTAGGATCCCTTCACTCTCCATTTCTCTCCTGACTCAAGAGCAAACCACAGGAGCTCCTACTTTCCAGCTGGCTTCACCTGTCAAAGGGTTGCTCATTGCTGCCATAGGCAAGGCTAAGGCTCTGTATTCAAGACTAGGGGGAAAAGATTCTTCTGTAAAAAGACATATCTGGGAGATATTTAGAAATTAAGCCCTGGTGAGGAACAGGCAAGGGGAGAAGGGGTCATGATGCTTCCACCCAGAAACCCCTGTTTCGCTGCTACACCCACTGAAAAACTCAACATTTCAAGAGGGTTTGCACAAAAAAAGTCTTTTAAACAGACACAGTTTACGCTGGATGAGAGACAATGATCACAAAGACTCTTTCTACCTTAAAAAACCTTTATGAATGAATATTTCTAATGCAACCATTTTAAAGGGAGTAAAAAAAATAAAAAACCCAACAAGTCTACCCTTTGGCTTTATCGTATTCTAACTTCCAAACTACTGGAACCAGAATCAATCCAGGAGATGATGTGGCATCATTGAATGCTGTTAGTTTTTCAGATGGTGGTGAATATCATTAACATTCTTTCCCTCTCTCATTTACTTGTTTATAAGGTCAGAAAACCTAGAAAGCAACGTGTGAATATTGCGACATCCCGAGGCAAAGGCAAAACCAGTAACAGGCAACGTTCACTCTAAAGCAGTTGTAGGAATCAGGGATCCATCCAGCAGGGCCTGTGGCTCAGCTAGTGCTCTCATCCCCAGGAAGAGGACTGAAATAATTCTTCAGTCTGCCCAGGGATCTTCTCACCAGTGGGATTTATTTTGCTCGGAAGCCAGAATCCTGGCACTTGATAGCCCTGACTGCTTCCAGCCAGAGCCAAAGCCAGACATCAGCCTGGTCACAAGCCCTTCCAGAGAAAAAGCCAGCTCAGGGAGTGAGGTGGGGACAGGCAGAGACAGATTCCAGGGCAGAGCCCACTGTCACATCTGTGCACTTTGTTTCAGCTGCCATCCCTGCCGCCCTGAGGGGAAACCGAGGCAGAAGAGAGTGAGGTGGGGACAGGCAGAGACAGATTCCAGGGCAGAGCCCACTGCTACATCTGTGCACTTTCTGTTTCAGCTGCCATCCCTGTCACCCTGAGGGGAAACCGAGGCAGAAGGACTTAATGCCCACACCCATGAAACAGGATCTCAGAAAATCTTTCTCTCCTCTCCCTGCCTGAAGGGGGGAAGGTTCGAACAGGAGATGGACAACCAATACTTTCCTGACTTTCCACCCAGCCAAAGCTCAGAGTGCCATGCACAACCAGTTCAGCTGTAGCAGGGGACAGTTTTTCCACACTGCTTCTGCTAGTACCACACATCTCAGCCCTCTGAGTGCCTGGTTATGTCCAGCTTGGTGCTTTTAGACAGTCTGATGACTAGTGCCATGCACAACCAGTTCAGCTGTAGCAGGGGACAGTTTTTCCACACTGTTTCTGCTAGTACCACACATCTCAGCCCTCCTGAGTGCCTGGTTATGTCCAGCCTGGTGCTTTCAGACAGTCTGGTGACCATTTAACTTCAAAGACTATGTTGTGAATTGTGGTAATTAGGCACTGCTCAGTAAATAGTTTAGATATCCAAGAGACAGGGATAAGAAACAGAGCAGGAAGACTCCCTCCAGGTCCAATTCCCACCAGTCCCAGCCAGACCTGCCTCTCAGAAGGACTCAACTTGCTCATCCTTTCCTACAGACAGAGATATTGTTCTGTTATCACTGCAGCACCAAGGATGTTGCTTTTTAGTCTGCATTAAACATGTCAGCAGAGCTTAGTCAAAAGACAAGAATTTGCTGTTCTAAGCCATTTTACTCTTTGTTTCAAAAAGCACAGCCACTGACATTTTAACTGGGAGTGTACAATAGCAACTCCCACAGCAGACATCAAAAAAAATCCCCACTGTGTTGTTTTGGTTTTTATCTGTTAAAGGCCAGAGGTTTGCACACTGGAGGGAAGGACTCTGCTTTACAGTAGAAACAAATACCAGATCTCACTGACCCCATTTTTGAAGCATGGAGGCTGTAAAAGTATCAGGCAAGAAGAGACAGCAACACAGCTGCTGGTAAAAGGAGACTTTTTTAGGCTTAACATTCTGAAGCTTCTCAATAAATCCAGCATCATCAGCTCTCCTAGTTTTATCAGAGGTTAATGAGATTTAGGGCTGTCATTAACACCTTCAGTCTTGAAATGACACAAATGTAAAAACTGAAGCCTTTTTTTCCTACCTACTAATATTTGTGAAGGCAAGCTGGAAAACCTACAGGTTGAGAATACAACTAAAGTTCTTTGTTAAGGGGTTGGTTTTTTTGTTAGTATCCAATCCAAAAGCAAAATTTAAATAAAGAAAAAAGCAAAGAAAAAAACCCCAATGCTTACACAAACAGAAACAAAAAATTAGGGTCAGCAATAGGAGGAATAAAAAGGAGTGTTTTGAAAATATTTGTGGTCACTGAATATATTGATGCCATGTACTGGGAGATTAACACCCCCGCACCACAGTGGGTGGAAAGATTACACAGTGCCTTGCACATGCTGTAGGGTAAAGTGACCCAGTGCAGTGAAATTATGGAGAGACTCTTGGTATCCTGTCTAAGATCCACAGGCAATGGATGAGGAGGCATTCACAGGTACTGCCTCTCTGGGCATCTGTGCATGCTGCTATTACAGCAGTCACCACAGCCAAGCCTGAGAAGAGGAAAAATGCCCCAAGAGCTGATGGATGAGAGACTCTTGGTATCCTGTCTAAGATCCACAGGCAATGGATGAGGAGGCACTCATGGGTACTGCCTCTCTGGGCAGCCTGTGCATGCTGCTACTATAGCAGTCACCACAGCCAAGCCTGTGAAGAGGAAAAATGCCCCAAGAGGTGATGGAGTTATATATTTATTTGTGACTTGAGGAACTTCCCATACATGTTTTCGAGTCCTCCAGAAAAACCACCAGTCAAACACACCAGTCAAGAACCACAACTGTGCAGACAGATCCCAGCTGGGCCAGTAGAGACACAGGAAAAGCCCCCAGGACGAGGAAAAATGCCCCAAGAGCTGATGGATTTATATATTTATTTGTGACTTGAGGAACTTCCCATACATGTTTTCTAGTCCTCCAGAAAAACCACCAGTCAGACCAGTCAAGAACCACAACTGTGCAGATAGTTCCCAGCTGGGCCAGCAGAGGCACAGGCAAAGCCCCCAAGAAGCTGCCATGTGTGCTTCTCCCTTCAATCTAGAATGAATACATATTTCATCCCTTTGCTCTGCATCTTAAGCAGGGCTGCTAACAGCTGTTTTTTTCCCCAAGCTTTACTGATGTGGTAATGGAGTCTTTTCCCAGATCCAAAGTCATAAAGTGACTGTGAAAAACCCAGGGGCCTCATAAGGTGAGAGGCATTTCTGAAGTGCAATTCATTCCCTGGACAAGGCATGTGAAGACATAGGAGCATTTGAATGAGAACAGATGAGCTCACCAGGAATTTGTGAGCAGGTAACTTGTGCTCTCCCAGTTGGGGTAAGGATTTATTATCCCTTGCTCATTGAAAGCATCTTCTTCTCACTGACTGTCTTCTGACAAGTCCCTCTTATCTCTAAAGGTGTTCCAACTGAAACACTGACCAAGACTTCCTCAGAAAGTCACACTTCTATGCAAGTAGGATTGAAATTTTTATTCCCTGCAGTTCCCCTGAGCTGCTGATGTCTCTCAAGATGCTATAACCTAAGTTCTGCTAGATGACACCACCTTGATGTCAGCCTGTTCAAATATGTCACACAGGGTACAAATCTGGGGATCTGGGCCCATCTCTTCTCCTTTGCAGATCAAAATTGTATCCAAAAATGGCTCTTTTAAACCACAACAGCCAGGACAGTGCTCATTTGGGAATATCACAGGAGAATGTTGCAAGCTCACTCAGCAGCCACAGAAATCACGATGCTATTTTTTTGTGGCTTTACTCAGTGACACAAATCCATAGGCCAATTTTTCAGCTTTTTTTTTTTTTTGAAACAACAACAATAAAAATTGACTGCTTCTCTTAGAGCAAAATGGAAGCAGTAATTGGAGGAACTGTTTACTACATCACCCTCTGCCTCAGAGTTATTCTACAGCCTTTCTTCATCCACATTTCATCTCGGGGGGAGAAAACAACAGTCCAGTATTAACACACCTGACTAGAAATCAGTCGGGCAGGCACAGATTCATTCTCTGGTCAGCAACTTCCACATGCCCACTGTGGCTAAGGAGTGTCAAGGACACACTTATCAGAGAGGACTAGAGTGAACGTTGCCTAGAGATTACTGGCAGGATACAACCTAGAGCCCAAAATAGCGCATGCAGGGTTAGAGCCAGGTAGATCAGCAGTCACCTGATTTCGGAGCAGATTAGTTTGTGCAACGAGGTGAGCTTGTAGCTTCCCTTGACACCACTGAGGCGCAGCTTTCTCAAGCAGCGAAACAGGCTGGGGGAGGGAGCATGTTTGAGTGGGAAAAAAAAAAGAAAAACAAATAAACAGAGAACAAGAGAGACACAAACATATATCTTTTAGGATAAAAAAATTAAAATCACAACAGAGAGTGTATTTAGAGGCTGGGCCAAACCAGTATCACCAAGGCGAGAGAAAAAAAACAAACATCCCGGGACTGATCAGTTATGAATCCTTTGAAGCATGCCAAGTTTAGCAGTAATTAATGTTCCCATGTGGGCTGGATACTGCAGACCAGCCAGGCAGCTGTAAGAGCAACAGATACAGTTGTTAGTGACCTAGCACACAGACAACCCTACTCCAAGGCATGGCTGTGAAGTTGGAGCTCCTTAAAGAGAGGTCAGGATTAATTAACCATCATAATTATTGGCATGCAACAGGTGAAAGTCCACAGTGTTTTATTTTAATAGCAGGATGTAAGTTTAGCAGTAAGTGGCAGGGGTCCTGGGTGGGAAAAGAACATCCATATATTAGAGAAGAATAAAGACTATTCTTGTAGTGCCAAACAGTATTTACACTGCTGTTTCTGTTACTATACCATGAAACCTTAATCAAGTCAGTTCCCACTTGTATCCTGTGTCAGAAACATGATTTCTCTCTCCTAGGGGTCTGTCATCACATTCCAAAGTAACTTACACTGGAACAACCCTACTTCAAAGGTCACAGGAGCAAAACTGCAGGCACAGAAACAGGGAGGTGAACTACCTCCAGCAGCTGAGAGCACGCTGAGCCCTGGCTGCTGCCCACAGCCTTGCAGAGCTGCGTGACTGAAAATTCCAGAGCCCAGGCTAGGCAGGGAGAACTGCCCACTTGGGAAGGCCATGGATACATAACTCCCTGGGACTTGCTGCTCCCATCCTGGCAGGCTCAGGACAGTGCAATGTGTCACGTATTACCCTGTACATGAGCTTATGGCCTGAATTCCAGAGGGTGAAAAGATCCAGTGCACTGCATGCTTTGGCTAATGAGAAGAGTTTGATCAGGTCCTTTCACAGGTTAAATCATGAATAGAGCACCAACTCCTAACTCCCAAACATTCACTCTTCAAACTGCACTTTTTTCCATACCTGTTGTATCATCTTAGCTGAACATTTGGGGCAACAGTGAGTGCAGCAGCAATAAAGGCAGCCAACCTCTGCTGCAGAGCTCCAGGTACCAACCTGAGTAGATCAATTCCTACAAAACCATTTCCACTGCATCAAAGATCCTATTGGCATGCACCAATAAAATAACACGCCCCAGGGAAATTCTGCTCCTACCCCAAACACAATAAATTATTGCTTTGAACTGAAGGCACAACCAGCTGGGCCTCATGCCTTGCATACAGAATCAAGACTTGCTTTGCCACACGAGTGATGCAATAACACTTGGGCCATCAATCTCTCTCCTCCTTTGTCTGTCAAGGTTAATCACAGTGCATGCAGTGCACTGTGGATGACTCAAGACTTGCAGCTTAACCATAAAAGTAGTGTGACCACTAAACGCATATCTTTCACTCAGGGTAGGGATGTATGTTAATTTCTTTTATGCAGGAAAAACACCAGCATCTCTTACACAGCTCATATTCCCCCCTACCAGAAATAACCCTAAGCAAAGGATGACAACTCTTGTCAGCCTGGTTAAAAGATACAGATCCAGGGTCTTTCTTTCCCGTACTGCTTCTACTCTGAAGAGTCACGATTTGTCATGGCCCACACTGCAGAGAACAAAAGATGTCTCTCCTGCCCTGGTCTAGTCTGTTGTGTCAAGAAGTGTCCTGTGAAGGGAAGCACATGGATTCAAATACACTTAGGGTACAAGAGGATTCCATGGCTCATTTTAGGGACAGTATTCAACTCATGTACCTACTCTAGAAGAAAATTAGCACTATTACATGTCTTCTGCTACATTAAAAAATGTAAACTATATTTTTAATTAAAATAAATCTCATTAAAAATAAAATTCTTCACTTGACTATTGGGCAAGCCCTGGATCAAGCTATTCAGAGGCAGGAAAGAAACCTGACATGAAAAAACTCTTCTTTTTCTGCTTTCAGCCATATTTATTATTGGTAATTTTAACCAACAGACAATAGAGTACATTCATCAAGTGTGCACACAGTACATTTCCACTGATGTGCTTGTAATTCACACTGCTAAGGGCCTCTCCTGTAGGATATCAGAAGGCTTCACAAACACAACCAACTTCAAATAACTCTGAAACATTCTTACCACTGCTCTAGGATGGGGAGAAAGTCCCAAGAAGCAGACAAACTGTAACATTTTTCTGCAGCACTGCAAGATTTTGCTTCCCCAAGGGCACACAGGCTTTTCTGCCAGAGGTTACTGGTCCTGTGTGTGTGACAAAACCATGCCCAAGCATTTGGCCACCAAGACACACAGACTGATGGTGGTGGGTCTGAACCAACCCAACAGAGGCCATCCTGCCTTCCAGGAAAACTAAACAAATGAGAAGGAAATACCTAGCAAAACTCACCAGTTCACAACACCTCAATGATCTTAAAGGTCCTTTCCAATATGAATGAACTCTACGAAAACACAGTGAAGAGGTACAGGGGAACTTAAAAGCAGCTCAGTTGGCAAATGCAGAGCTCCCAAAAAGAAAGGAAGGCTGCATATCCTCCTGATTCCTTTACCTTTGCGATTTTGGTTTCATCCTTCTTCTTTGCAGTTTGCAGGGCTTCAAAGTGGTGTCTGGCACTGTCATAATCCACAAGCTTCCTTCCTCGCTTTGCGATACGAGACTGGAAAGATGGAGAAAAGAGTCACACCAATCTTCCCCAGCAGCCAAAACTGCAAAACCTCCCAGGAAAAAAACCCTCCCAACTTCCACAACACCCCACACTCTGCCCACACAAGGACTCTCCCTGGATCCTCCACACAGGAGGAGGCCCTGGAAGCCACCATTTCAGAGGGAGCACCTCAGGAGGAAAGAGGAGCCATCAAGGGAAGGTGAAGGGATCCAGCCAACAGGCCCCATCTCTGGGTAATGTGTATTTTCAGAACTTTAGCTCCCCTGCTTCCTAAGCCCCACAATGTGCCTGCATCCTACATCCTTCATTATTTTCAGGGCTTCCTGAGGGCTGCAGCCAGTCTCTAACTAACCAGCTCACTAGTTTGTGTGGAAGCCTGAGAGATTAAGTTCAACAAAAGAAGGCATTTCTGCTGCCAGCACAGCAAAAGCGCTCATCCACATGCTCTGGACATACCATGGACAGCCTTTTGGACCCTGAGACAGAAGCTGCAGACAGTAGTGACTGCCAAAGGCAGAGGTCTGCTGTCACCAGCATTCAAGCAAGGGAAGTGCAAGGGAAAACCTGCAGCACTGGGTCACCAACACACAACACTGAAGCCAAAACAAATACAAGGAGGGAGCCAACTGGGTACCAGACTTAGATTCAGGAATGGAGTCCTGACAAATCCATGGCTGAGAATCCAGGACAGACAGTCAGGCCTGTGGCCTGATCCTGTGTTACCCTTCTTGAACTGAGGAGCCTAAGGCTCTCTCTCAGCAGAGTCGTACTTTACTGAGGCTCTGTCCCACTGGGTTTCCCTGTTTTAGGAACTATCCATCCCCTCTGGCCCCTGCCTCCCACACTGTCTGCAAACACCCCAGACTATCTGGGCTGGAGCACACACCTTCCCAGCCTTAACACAGCACTTCCCCCCCAGATCAGAGAGCCTGGACCATTGTCAGTAATCAGCAGCCCAGAGACAGGCTGGATAACAGAGTGAAAAGGCATGGCAAAGAGCCAGGAGGATTGCTAAACAACCACAAAACCCAGGGACATAGTGCAGAACGAGGAATCAGCACTGGGATTTACTTGCAAAAGCAGAATCCCCTTCTCTCCTGCCTTGGCAGGGAGCTGTGGTTTCCTCTCCCCAGGCTCCTGCAGATACGCTGCAGAACCGCGCTCAGGGCTGATCCCTGCCAGACCAGCTGGAGCAGCTCACACATCTCCCACACACGCTCCTCTGCTCCTCCAGCAAACTCTGCTGCAGCTCTAGGTGAGTCACAGCAGGTCTGCAGGATCTCAGACACATGCATACCCAAACTCTCCTCTAAATGCTCAGCTCACTCCAAGAGAGGAGTCACGAAGAAGCTGAGCCACCACACAGTCGAGGTCACTAGAAGAAACCTCCCCAACTCCACAGTGCCAGCCAGGAGACAAGGTACTGGAGGGGGCTTCCAGCTGCACAGCAATCTGGGATGCAAGTTAATGCATCTTACAAACACACCAGAGGAAACACGGCCCCATCTGGGATTGAAGAGATACCACTTTGCCCCCACGTCAGCCTGGTAGAAACAGATGCAGTTTCCCCACCTCTGACATGGCCACACAGCCATTTCAGTTTTTTGGGCTACCCCACCAGGAAGTTTGATTCAATGTCACCCATCTTTCAAACAAAGTCACTCTTCCATGTTTATGCAGCTCCCAGATTTCTAATAGCCATCACCATGTTTCTGCTGGAGTACAGGGAAATGCTGCAGGATACAGACACACAGGGTGTGAGCCCTCCTGCAGTAACCACTGAGCACACCACTGCTGGTGATGGCACTCACTGGATTTTTAGGAAGGCTCAGGGCTGCCTTGTATGACTCCAGGACAGCTGCAGAGACCCAGCATCACCCAAATGTAACAGCTGAACTCCAACAGACTTCACTACTTTGCAACAAATCCATCTTAATTTAAGCCTCCTTAAAAAACAAACAAAGCCAAGCCATCACAAATCTTTTGTCCTCCACACCCTTTTTTTACTCATATTTGGTTTTACAGCTAGTTGAGCACCAGTTTTAGACAGAAAATCCCCAATTCAACAGCTCTTCAGAACTTGGGCTGTAGTTTAGCTTCTCTGGCCTCACTGCAGAGACCTGTACTATTATTGCACAATGAGCAAAACCAACCAAAAACTCACTCAGAAATATTAAAAATTATGCAAGAAGAGTCCTACTCCAAGAAGTACAGACACTGACCTGAAAAGAAAGTTAAAAGTACTTTTTGCATTCCCGTTTTTCAAGTTAGAGAAGATGGAGAGGCCTTGTTCAGGAGTGAACATCCAACACTGGATAAATTATTTTCTTTAACACACAAAAATTCCTTACTAAAGGCATGCTCTGTTTTCACATTCCTGCTGTGGATTCCTTTTCAAGTCCAAAAAATCCAAGAGAATTTTTACAGCCCCTCAAGTAAAGACAGTTTGAGAAGATGTTAGAATGTAACAAAAAAACACATGCATGATCTAACTCATCACACATTTTAATTACTAGGCCATTAATGAAAACAGGTCTTTTCACAACAAAATTAAAATCATCTTTCTCCATAAATCAACTTCTTTTACCAGGGTAATTCCAGAATTCTAGAAAAAGCAGAAAAATTCATTTTGTGGAAAACAAAAACCAGAAAACTAACACTGCAACAACAAAAACCAACTCGTGTTTGGCCACCACATGTTTGGCATCAATAGTCTGTAAATGACATAAGACTGGAGCTTTTTTTTTTTTTTTTGCCTGAAAATATCAAGAACTCTAATTTCTTATGTGAGGCCTAGCTATGCTTTTGTACGGTTTAGAAATGTTTGACAACTGGTAAAATGTGATTTGGACCAAAGCAAAGTGCCAAAGTCTGAGTCTACAGAAAGCCCACAGAAAGGCATCCTGCTGAGGAATCACACAGGCTGCACTTCTGACTGAGGCCCATGGCATCACACCCAGAGAGACCAGCCCTATAGCCTCCAGAGGGTGGAAAGCCACAGCCCTTCCCCACATCCCGAGGTAGAAGAGGCTGGAAAAATGAAGCAAAAACAGGGAATCCCAGGAGACAAGGACACTGCTGTTCAGGGCTCGTTTTACAAGCCTGTGACCTGCCCCCATGTGATACAGCACCATCCTCCTGAAGCAATAAATATTGACAAAGGTTTTAAGAGACATGTGTTGGGGAAAGGGCTGTTTTCACTGGAACACTGGAAAGTAGCCAAGCTGATAGTTCCCATATGGTGATATCATTACTAGTACTTCCATATGGTGAAGACATTTCCTGCATAACCTCAAAATGAATAGAGAGGAGATAACTGTGGGGGAAGGGAAGGTCACAGGCCAGCACTCAAACCCAGGCCCCTGGATACAATCTCTCCCTAAAAAGACACCTATCCAGCATTCTCCCTTCACTGAAAAAAAGCTGGGTACACACACAGCAGGCCTTCAAGGGCTCACAGAAATCTGCCTTCCACACCAGCCTCTGCTCATAAAGTAGATTTGCCACTAACTGCTTCCTCAATGTTTTCTACTTACAAGGAAGTTACAAGACAAAAGGACCAAAAAGACATTGAGACCTTCTGAGCTATTGCTGACACTGCCCCCCTGCACTCTGATGCAATAGAGAGTTTCATGGATCCTCCTGTTTCACACTTATATTTTCTCTTCAGCATCTTTCCCCTGGATTCTTCATTCTTGTTTTAAGCCCAGAAATAGAACAAGACATTTTCAATTAACCCAGAGCTGCAGAGATCTTGGCTGCTTTTAAAGAAGACCTTGGAGAAGTACAGCACACATTCTCCTAAAGCAGATGGGGATATAAGAAATTGATCTTCAGAGCGGTTATCTGCTGTGAATTTCTAGATCAAATAGTTCCAAGAGAATCTTACTTTAATATCTGGAAATTGGCCAAGATATGTATCCATGGTCAGAAGTGCTTGATCCACCAGCTTCTGATGGAAATCTGTCCATAGGAGATCATTGTTCTGAAAAACGAAAGTAATGAGTTAACTATTAAGAACACAAGGCTCCACATTTCTGTTTTTCTCTGTGAGTGCTACAGCAAACAATCCTGGGCATTCAGAGCTCTTAAGAAAAAGTAAATTCTTTGGAAAACTAATGATAAAGTATCTTGGCAGAAATGAGAAAGCCTGATGCTGCTACTTCAGGTGACCTCTCCAAGGACAAAATGCCTTTGAAACTCTTTCCCCTGCAATGTTAAACTCAAGTCTGTAAGGTGATTGTCAGGCTGGTTTTGCCTCCTCCTCCCAGCAGCTACAAAAAAGGGACACCTGACACCACAAGGCACCATTTTCTGGTTTTTATTACAATACAGTTTCCTGGAGAATCATGAACAACAGAAAGCAGTCTTCAGGCCTCACACCACTTGTCCCCACAGCCCAGTGATTGTCAGGCTGGTTTTGCCTCCTCCTCCCAGCAGCTACAAAAAAGGGACACCTGACACCACAAGGCACCATTTTCTGGTTTTTATTACAATACAGCTTCCTGGAGAATCATGAACAACAGAAAGCCACACTAGCAGTCTTCAGGCCTCACACCAGCTGCCTCCACAGCCCAATGGAGGACAAGGCATGCACCATGAGCTGTGCCCACTTTATCCTTGACCTTAGCTCAGGCACAGCAATTTCCTATCAACACCTTGGATTAGGTGAAAATTACCCCTCTCTGCCGGTTTTGCACTTGAACAAAGGGTTTTGGCTAAAAGATTCAGAGAAAGTTCCCACTTTATACTTTTCATTTGGCAGGAACAACTCTTCTCTTTCACCTGTCTTTTCACAAGCAAAATATAAACAAGGAAATAAAGGGGAAGGTGGAAAGCTGGAAATATTCTTGCAGACCCAAAGGGTAGCTACAGTTAGTTCTCAGGATTCATGTCCCCTTTGAAATTTTCTAAAGGGTCAGGAAAGCTGGAAATATTCTTGCAGACCCAAAGGGTAGCTACAGTTAGTTCTCGGGATTCATGTCCCCTTTGATCTCTCCGGCTGAAATTTTCTAAAGGGTCAATCTCTCAAGAGGCACCACAGTGGCTCAGGAAAAAAAAACAAGGCCAACAGAGAGTGTGAAGTCAAACCAACTGAAATACAACTCCATTATTTACTGCAACAGCACTTCCTAATGCAAAGTTTCCGTGTCAATGAAAAAACTGACCTGAAAACGTTCAGATTTTGTTTGAATTATCTGCTTTGAAGTCATTATTTTCTGGGCAAGATACAGATGTTATTTCAGGTGAGATTTTCTGCAGGAGAAAGGAGGAGAAGAGAAGAATCCTCCTCCTGCTCTCCTGTCAGTTCCTTCACCACTTCTCCAATGGCACAGACAGCTGCAGATAATCCCAGTCCTGCAGCCTCATGGCAAATGAATGCAGAGAGCTGAACTGCCACAGCTGCTGCTCAGCAGAACAGCTGAGCATGAGAGCAGAGGGTGCTGCCTCCAGCTGGACCCACCCCAGGCACAGGCCAAGGGGATCCACGCTGCCAAATGTTTCTGAGCTCCACAGAAAACACCTGGGCAAGCTGCACAGGCATCACCTCGCCAAGGGATGACAACACCAGCAGTCTGGGGTGACACATGGCTCAGCCAGACAAGGGAACAACTGGAACAAGACAGCTGGTGGTACAGCCATGAGGGGTTGTGGCAGCTACACAACTGGCTGCTCTGACTGCTTTAGCCATCGTTTTATCTGCCTCTTTCTCTTACACAGAACATAAGCAGTACACCCAGCTGCCCTACTGAGTTCTGTTGGAATCCTCTGTCCCCATTTAGCCACTCAGGGGAAACAAGCAGCCTCTGGGCATAAGTGTACAGTTCTGGGTAATGTACAAGCACCTGGCAACAATCTCCTACAAAAATACTGGCCACATCCTTCCAGCCTTCCTTTCTTCACAGTGCTGAGTTTGTCTCCAATTCTTCTGCAAAGTCATATGCCTGAAGAAATGTGGTGCACAGACACAGCTTCCAAAGCTCATCTCTGCTGACAGAGCAAGTCTGGACATCCCCACATCCTGGCCAAAGTCTTACCTCTGCTATTTTATTTGTGTCATCTCTCCCAGGCCAATCTGGCTCATAAACTTCCTGCAAACACTCTGTCAGCTTCTTGGAGGCCTCGTGCATAGCTAGGAAAGAAGAGGGAACTGTTCAGACAAAGAAGAAAATAATGTGTTCCTCACAACTTAACCTTTATCCTCAGGAATGGAGGCACAGGAACATTAAAACCGATGCTGAGCTCTTCCTTACTAAATGTCCGACCCTTGATGACACAAAGATGGAAGGAGATAACCTTTATCCTCAGGAATGGAGGCACAGGAACATTAAAACAGATGCTGAGCTCTTCCTTACTAAATGTCTGACCCTTGATGACACAAAGATGCAAGGAGGGAGAAAGGAACCAAGGGTGCAATTGCATCAAGCCTTTTGTGTTCATCCTCCTCTAGAAGAACAGTGAAGGTCCATCTGCTAAGACACCACCACATGTTTGGCATTAAAGCACAACCCCATTCCCAGATGGTCCCAAGGGATTCTGAAAGCTCCCCCACCTGACAAAGCTGCAACTCATGCCTGGGGAAACACCAGGGAGGGGAAGGCTGCAGAAACCTCACTGTGGAGGTAAGCACTGGAGGGGAACAAACCTCTGCTCGTGCAGACCTTACCTTTGACAGAAGCCAAGTAAGTTCGGAGGTCCTTCTGCAGCCTCGTGCCTTCGGACTGTGAACAGAAGGATCATCAGTTATTCTCTCAGCTAAAGAGAGAGTGTAAGCACTCAAGCAATTCTAATTAAAGAAAACTGGTCTTGCAGACAGGCTACACTCCAGTCCTATGATCACATGAAACTCCAAGCTATCACAATTTTTGTATTTTTTAGCTCTTTGTTCTAGGAACTTCTAGGATTTTTGCAGCAAATGTAATCATAACTCATCTCCTCCTGTACTCTTTGGGTCAGTTCCCAATACTTCCCCAGTTTTTTAGCTCTTTGTTCTAGGAACTTCTAGGATTTTTGCAGCAAATGAAATCATAACTCCTCTCCTCCTGTACTCTCTTTGGGTCCGTTCCCAACACTTCCCCAAACCAGAAGACTTTGTTTGTAAAACTGGCCAGCTTTTTCCAATCCCTCATTTCCTTTGCTGATGGCAGTAGGAAAAGAACAAATGTGAACTCATCCAGAACTTTCGAGGCATGGAAAACAATTTGGGCCATGCTGCTGGAAGCAGATGGATTTCTCACAAAACTGTGCTATCACTGCCACTTGAACAGCTGGGCAGATTTAGCCACTGCTTAGAGAGCACAGCTGCACTGGGAGCACAAAGGATCTCAGCACGAGCTCAGTTGAGACAAGAGGTGCCTGCGTGGTGGGGAGAGCTGATGGAAAACATCTGCTTTTGAAGTCAGTAGCTCTGAGGCAGCTGTTGAAGATGTCCTGTGAGCTCCCTGTCTCTGGTGTTGGCTTCAGCTGTCCAAATTCATTATGCTGGAGTGCCCTTCAATGGGGCATAAACTGGGAAGGAGGAAGAATGACAGCAGGCTGTGAGGGGCAGTGGTCTCTTTTCTGCATTCTTGTTTTGCAAAAGATATCACAGTCCCACCAGTGGATACATTATCATCCTGCATCTGTATAATTTTTAACAATAACTAAATTTCAACTCACTATTTGGAGGTTATCAAAAACTATCAGCAGGGAAGGTCCTCTGCAGAACTTGCCCACTACACACTTGGGCACTGCAATGTCTGGAGCAGTAACATTCAAAACTGTAGCATCTAAAATCAGAAGCCACTTCTAAAATTGTGTCCATGCATCCCCTAATCCAGTCACACAGCAAATGACACAAGCCAAACTCTGAACTCTTCAAGTCTCAATACCCAGTTCCAAGGCTTCAGCTGTCCAAATTCATTATGCTGGGGTGCCTTTCAATGGGGCACAAACTGGGAAGGAGGAAGAATGACAGCCATGGATCAGAAAACCAGCAACACAATTAAATGTCTAATCAATATTTTTACATAGATCACCTGGAAAACCTACAAATCAGGTCTGAAAACTGGAGCATGCAATTGCAGCAATGCAGAACCAGCCTTCTGTGTTCTCCAGGATCCTCACCAATGGTGCTGCGTCCTGCAGGTGCAGTGGTCTCAGTCACCTCTTGCTGATGTTTAAACTCAGCTGATCTCTGTCATTATGGAGTTACCTAAGTCTCCTAAAAGTACTGAGCCTGACAGAGAGAGTGAACAGACTTGACAGCCTGTAAGATCTGCAAGCAGAAAGATTTTCAATGAGAGACCCATGTTCAGAGTTTTGCTCTGAATCCTGTTTTCCCAGCTCCCCTGGGTACCTGTGGTTCCTGTCCAGTTCCCTCTCTGGCATCTCCGTAGATTTTTTTCTTGTCCACTAGTAAAGCAGCTCCCTTGCCACAAAGGCTTTTTTTAAATTATTTTAAGCATTAATGTTTTCCCATAAACTTTGGGGTAACTTTAAGACCATGGTTTTCTCTCTATGCATGCAGCACCTGCTTTATTCAAGCAGCCTATAGTGAGCTGTCAGGTACTGCCACAATTCTGCATAAATCAGAGAATCATTAAGGCTGGAAAATACTTCCAAGATCCCCAAGGCCAAACTTGGACTGAATATCACCATGCCCACTAAACCAGTGCCATGTAAATGTACTTTCCCAATACTTCCAGGGATGGCTTCTCAGAGGAGCCTGTTCCATGCTCCCTCCAAAATACCTCCCAGAATGCAGCTAGAACTGTCAAGTACTATACAAAACAGAAACTTTCAACAGTCTTGAGTGCACATTTAAAAGATGCTTCTTAAACCAAACAGTAAAAAAAATAGGGAAAAGAGCCAAATGGAATCAGAAAAACAAATCCACCTCTCAGTTATCAAAGAGTTGAAAGGTGTAGAGAGGGAAGTTACAGAGGTATGGCTCAATATGAAGATGCTTAAACACACAAGTGCCATCTTGTTTGAGCAGACACTGCCACACTTGCAATCACAGTGCACTCAAGCCCACGAGCCTACAACACAACAAAGTATAACATGAAGGCCAGATGGATATTTAAAAATAAAAGTGCTATGCTTGCAAAGCTGGAAGACCTCTCTCTCTTCCCAAAGACCTAATGAACCACCTATTACTTACAGCCCTGTGAAACAAAAACACAAAAGTGGTTTGATACCTTTCTATGCTTTCTTATCTTGAAACCAAGCCCTAGCTAAATATGTGATTTTCTGTAGAGCTGCTTCTTGGTAGTAGACAGGTTTCCTAAAACCCTTTTTCCCCATTCTTAAAAAGGAATTATTTCATCCTAATACTAGACTCCAACCCTTTTATATAACCAGTCTGGTTTTGCAGTTCTAGTGGGAAGGATTTTATTACCAGCAGGGATGTTTGACATCTGAGGGGGCAGGAGGTAATGTCCTGTTCCAGATTAGATTAATGCAGGCTGGAAGAACAGACTGTGTAATTACAGGGAGGAGAAGCACTGAAACAACAGCTGCAGGTAAGCCCCCACTCAGCAAAACTTGAGAACTGTTAAGACAGAGCACGAACAACTGGGGGGAAGCTCCACCTGGGGTACCACAGGGAGGCTGCTAAGCTTGTTTTGCCACACAGGGCTGAGTGTGAAAGGTTCTTGTCAGGGAAGAAACCCTCTCTCTGAGCTACTGACTGCAATGGGAACCCCCTCTGTGACAGCAAAAGTGCAGTCCCCACTGCCTGCCCTGCAGCATGTGTCAAAGTGGCCCAACACAGTCATTAGAGTCAGAGGAGCCTCTAATCAGCCAGTGAACAAGGTCACTGCCTGCTCACACCCTAGCCAGTTCCACAAGAGAGCAGCGCTGCTCTGTCACCAGCCTGCAGCAAAAGGTCAGCTTCCCTCCAGACTTCCATTCCCCACTGGAGCAGAGTTTGTAATGAAAGTTCACAGAAATCTCAAAGACAACTATGCTACACACACCTTATACATATAAAAATATAAAGAAGTGTGTATATACGTATATATAGCTGATTTTTTATTCCCCTAGCCCTCAGCTCTGGATATCCTAAGAATCCAGCTAACCCACACTCATGGTTTGCCCTGTAAAACAGGCACTGTCTACATTTATTTTAGTAATAGGGAAACTGAAGGCCTAAGCAAAACCAGAAGAACCCAAGCAGCAAATGCAGAGCAGCCTCCAGCTTCTTTGATTAACTATTTGGGAAATTTAGCTCATGGTCTGCTCCACAAAGCTGGAAAAAGAATTCAGATGTGAGGGATACAAGACGCAGTGCTTCTTCAACAGGCTCATCACTGCACCACTGGAACTCATGGCTTTGGAAATTGAAAAAGCCACCCCAGAGAGTCACATCTAGAAATCTGGATTTGAGGGGTTTTTTATTTCTCATTTATAAAGGTTATTTCTTAATTGCTTAAAAATTATACCCAAAAAGTCACATCTGGTAATGCCATGTTGTCAGAAAGCAGTTAAAATGTATTCTGCTGTGTACAAGAGAATATCATTGCTGGACATGCTACAGACATGCTGCATGAACTTCTGGAGCAATAGCCACTACTGCTGCCAAGAGAACAAGCATTGGTGTCCAGGAATCTGCAATCAGCTCTGGTTACATATAAGTCAAAGCCAGACTGAAGGATTTTCATTACATTCAGCTGTGGCAAATCCCTGCTCAGCTGGTTTTGCGACACAACCACATCTGCTGAGTCTCCACAGACATGATGCAGCTGCCACTAACAGCTCTAGAAAAAGGTCCTAAATGTGTCAAGCCACAAAAGAATAATATTTCTTCAGCACCACCTGAGCTAGGCTGTGTCACACATTTCCTGCCACAAAACAGAAGCAATGCTTCCCCAAACAACAAGCACCAGCAAAATCCAAAAGGTAACCGGTGTTTTCCCTTCTGGGAGGCTGAAGGTTCTAGGCTAGGCTGTGTCACACATTTCCTGCCACAAAACAGAAGCAATGCTTCAACAACAAGCACCGGCAAAATCCACAAGGTAACTGGTGTGTTCCCTTCTGGGAGGCTGAAGGTTCTATATAAAAAGTAAAACAAAGCACACCCAGTCGAAGATCGAAACCTACTGCTGTGGAAGTAGGAGGGTGGGGAAAAATTGCTACACTGTTAAAATATTTCTGTGCCCTAAAATATTGGGATGAGGCAGACACGCAGAAGAATAATGACTCAGGCCTGACACAGAGATTGTGCAAGTATGGGGAACAAGTCAGATTTAGGTTTTAGCCATAGAAGGATGTTCCTTTTTCACCATTTGCTTTCTTTGTCTCTTCTGCCCTACACTGTGCTTAGGAAACCGAAACTGCCTTGTTCCATTTTATTTTTTATTTCTTATCTGTTTCCCAACCTATCCCTCATTCAGGGACACAGTGTTGCTCTTATATCTCTGCTTCCACCAGAGCAGCAAAAATTACATTACAAAGCAGCTGCTAACTGAAGAAAGTGTTCTGTTTGAGCTATTATTAAAAATAATACTTGTTCTAGACCCAATTTTTTTTCCCTAAAACTGGGTCTAGAACAACTATTATTTTTACTGATCTCTTCACTCTTGTGCCCAGTGACAGGACTGAAGAAACAGGATAAAGCTGAGGCAGGGGAGATTTAGGTTGCATATCAAGAAAAGGTTCTTCACCCAGAGTGTGGCTGGGCACTGGGACAGGCTCCTCATGGAAGTGGCCACAGCACCAAGCCTGACAGAGTTCAGGAAGCATTTGGACAACGCTCTTGGGCCCATGGTTGACTCTTGGGGCGTCCTGCACAGGACCAGGAGTTGGACTTGATGATCCTGATGGGCCCCTTCCACCTCAGCACGTTCTATGATTGCCTCATTGATTCCATGAAAGGGACCCTGGAAGTCACAATGCCATTTCTTCTAAGTGAGAAGTTATGAGTTATGGGTCACTTCAATAAGCCTATGTTATTGTTTAATTTAACGGCCTTTAATTACACTGCAGGAGATGACTGGAGGCTAATACTGAAACCCAGGGTGCAATTACATATTGACAATTATCTTACCAGCTGTTTGTTGAAGTTTTGCACACACTGTTCAAATTGCTCATCTTTTGTTTCATCTGCTTTACCAAGTTTCTGAAGGACCTGCAGAGAAAGAGGAGAAAGGAAACTTCAAACACAGACACAGCAAAGCAGAGAAAAACAGTTGCACGTTTTTGGTCCTGAGGCCAAAGTTAAAAAGTCACCCTTATTGTTCTGCTCAAGATTTTCAGAATATTTTTCCATACAGTCATAGTTTGAAAACAGATTTACAGATTAATCAGGAAGAACTTGGACCTCTTACATTCTGCTGTACTGAAGAGCATGGCTGAGGCTTCTCTTTCACTGATGTAATGTTTTTTGCAGACAAGGCAACAGCAATCCAGTTATCTCCTGAACCAGCAAGACACAAACCACAAATCCCTAATATGCCCTGTGTTGTGCAGTTACACTTTTCCTGATTTAACACTCATGTCTAGTACAGACAGGGTGGGGTTCTGCTCCCAGAACCACTGGATTGGCCTCAAACACAGAGAGCTGTGCAGAGATCTCAGGGAGAGAGGGTGGCTGGAGCAGTGAAACTCCCACCTTCTTTCCACCTTTTCTCACTATGCACATGTTTGGCAAGAGCTGGCTGCTGAGAGCCACTGAGGACCTCACACCATTAATCTGTGTGACACTCAGTCCAAGTGTCACTTCTGAGAGTGTCAGCAGCCACCCCCCTGCACAGCACAGCTCCCACAGCCTGTAAAAAAATCCTTATCAGACTACTTCTCTTATCACCCTCCTCTCCTAGTTCCCTCTCCATGCAGCTAAGTGGATTGCTCCCAGGCTTAGAACAAAACAGCATTTCATGTTCTGGGCTGGCAGGTACATTCATCACAAGAAGTTTGGGCAAACCTGTGGAGGAGGGCAGCAGCTATTTGCCATGCCCCAAGCAACTCCAGCTGCAGGGAGACTGGGACCCTGTAGCTGGTAGGGCTGATTTCATCATCTCTCTGAATCAAAACTAAAACCTAACCATGCAAAAAAAAAAATTGAAAAAAGCCTTGTCTCACAGGGACAGTGAAACCAAAGAAAAGCCCTCCCAGTCCTCAGCCACAGGAGGTTTTGGTGAGCCAGAGGTGAGCTAGAAAGGGAGCACCTCAACAAGCAAGGCAGCCCTGTCTGGGAAAAGCATGAGGGGGCATGAAGAGACAGAAAGCATTGGAAAGCTGGAGTCCCCCTTGCTCTGCTGAGCACAGCAGAACAGCCCTTTACCCACAGACCCCGGTATAAGTTTCCCCCTTTTGAGGAAAAGGGGATTAAGGCAAAAAAAGCAGGTCCCTGTTACTGACACCAGATCCTCAGGCAGACCATCAGTAACTGTTCCCAGACTCTGAGGGACAGCCAGAGAGCCAAAAGTCACCCAAACCAGATTCCTCCAGTTGCCTTTGCTACCCATGGATCTTCTCAGAGAACACAGAATTTTTCCCCTTCAAGGCAGGGATCAGTCTTTCATAATTAGTCCCCAAAATGGAACTGAAAAGGATCATGCAACAGGATGTAGAAGAGAATATTTTCAATTTGAAGTGACCTACAATAATAATTTAGTTCAACTGGCCATGCACCTACTGGCCCACTCTCATGCTTTTTTATACTGTTGAGGTGAAGAACAGCTGTTATGCCTATTTGGCTAATCTCAGCTTCTCTCTTCCCCATACATGAATGGATATTCCCATCTCACCCCAACCACAGTAACTGACTGTAGTGGAAGATGTGAAAATCAATGCAAGTCATTCAGCATCCAGCTCCTAAATCCCTTATTTCAGCTGGGATTAAATGTCTAGGAGGGAATCACTGTTTTTCATTCTCCCTCTGTTCAACAGCTTCTCTTCACCTCCAGAAATTGCTGAGGTATTCCAGTGTCAGCAAAAGGAGGGAAAGGGACACACAAAGAGTGTCCCTTTTGTCACCAAGAGTTGAATCAAGGACCACCAGTTTTTTGAGTACAGCTTTCTACAGCTCAAATGCCAGCAGCAAACACTGCAGCCACAAATGCCTAATGTGCTTGGTAAATCTGTCTACACAGCAGGACATAGCATGAATATTCCCTTCTTCCTCACACACCAACCCTTGGCACATAAGAGCTTGTTGGAGAGAGAAGCAGCAATGTTGTTTGTACTGGCAGAGTCCTGTACACCAGACACTGGTGTCTCCTGTGCCCACCCACTCTAGCAGCAGCACTGCTGCTGAGGTTACACGTTCCTCTGCCATGCCAGCAAGAGACAAGGATTCAGTATGGCCTCATCCTTCTCATCAAGTGGTATCTCCTCCAGATTTTGTTCAGCTGCACTCCCCTAGGCTGTCAGATCTATGGAACAGGGGTTTCCCACCCGCTGGGTGACTTTCTAGGTATCCTAAGAGCAGGCACACCAATAGCACTCACCACTGATAACAATAAAGTATGCAAGCTGTAAATTCTAAAGCAGAATTTCCTTCTCACTCAATGTGCAGATCAATAAAATTACTGGAGATACAAAGGAGATTTTTACAGGGCAATGCATCTGTCTGGCTATTCAAAAGATGTGATGCTTTCAGGCCTGGAGGGAAGGGAAGGAGAGCATTTAACTGGGAGGAATCTGGAGTATGTCACCAGGGTCAAAGACTTAGAACAGCCTCAGTGCTTCCTGGTGTAAAACACTGAGCAGCACTCACAGACTATTCATTATGGAGCCACATGCCTGCTTCCATCATATCCATTTCCAGTTCTACAGCCCCTTGGGGAACATGCACACTTAGTCTGGGATCATCTGGCCAGCTGGGAAAATCTTGTTCCACTGTGCTGAGGGGCTCTGCACAATTCCTGTGAAACGCTGTGCAACGCAAAGAGCTCTAACTCCCAGCCTATCTCTAAGGAAAAAGCTCCTGCTGTAAGAGGAAAGCTCAGGCGAGGAGCAGCTCTGAATGAGGGGAAAAGAAGTACGAGGAAACCCTGTGTGATTCCACAGTGGTGACAAGGGGTGGGTGAAACAGATGACCTGGGGATGCCTGCAGAGAAATAAAGCAAGGAAAACAAAATCAGGTACAAGAGAAAGCCTGTGAGAAGTGAATTCCTGGCTACACACAAAAAAAAAAAGAAAAAATTCTTGCTTCCTACACTACTCCCCATGTGGTAGATGAAGGCTTGTGCCCCATGTCTGCTGGCCCTATGGGCAAACCCCACCACACAATAATCTCTTTTTTCACCTGCTATGATGCAGCAGAGAGGCCAGCCCTGGGCTGCAGCAGGACAGTGGTTATCTCCTCATAATGCTCTCCCCCATAACCAGATCTGCCCCACACCAAGAGCCCAGAGGTCAAACCCCAAGTCATCTGAGAGGCACAGAGGACGGCACCTCAATGCTGGCCCTCAAGCTCCCCCATCAAAGAGCTGTGCTGGCAAGTCATACTAACAAATCCCTCTGGACTCCCTGAACCCGGCACGATGGAGCAGCTGGCCCTGGGTGTGCTGCTGACTGCAGACATGTCTGTGCTCCCTGCTAATAACCCGTGAGCTCACAGGACAACTCCCCTCCCCAGGCTGGTGGGTGCCGTCATAGGTCAGGCTATTCCGGGTGAGCCGCGGCTGCTCCCTCCCTTCCCCTGCGCCAGGTTTTAATCCTCCAGCTCACTGCAAAGCCAGATAAAGTTGGGATGGAAACTTCAGGCTCTTTGATAGCTATTAATGGAGCAGATTTACCAGGGTAGGAGACAGGACTCCAGCGCAGCTCCCAAATCTCGGGGCGGATCAGAGATGGTGTGATGTGTCAGCTGCTGTCTGGCGGCAAACCGCACCAGAAGCGGGCATGGATCTGGCATTTAAAAGATTAAGGAGCAACCATGGCTTGGCTCTTTGGTCTGCCCTTGACCTCAGAAGTCCTGGCCATGCAGAAGGATAGAGACCATTTCAAGATAGTGCAAGATAGGGTGAAGGATGGAATACTTTGAATCCCACAGAACACCTTGTGAAATGGATTTCAGAGGAGGCTCTAGTGTTGCTGTGGGTTTCAGTCTTGATTTACTATGGTAGTAGTAAATTGGTTTACTATGATTTATTGATTTACAGTCTTGATTTACTGTGACAGGATGGGGCTGTCACCCTAGACAGTGTTTTTGGCCTCAGGCACCAGGTATCTTTTCCAGTGTTTGTCAGAAACCGGGTCTCTTCTAACAATTATAGCTAGACCTGCAAATGCTCTGCATACACTAAGACCAACAGGCACAGACCAGCTACTGTAGAATCTCCAAAGAGAGCCAAATTCTACCAATGGAGCCTCAGTCTTTCTTGCATTTGAACAAAAGCAACAAGCAAAACAAGGAAACTCAGAGTTCAACTGAAGTTTTAAAAGCAGTTTAAGAACTTAGAAGGCAAGATGCTATTAACAAATCAGTAAATAATCACATTCCTCTCATATCACAGATGTGTTTGTAATCTGTTGTTGTGGGCAGAATCATCTGCAGTAAACTCATAATTGCTACACTTTGAGAAGTAACACAGAAGAAGTGAAAGGGAAATATGAAAACCTTCATACCAGAGATGTGGCATTTGCTAACAATGGTCAGAGAAGTCAAGGTGTGAAACAGCTTTAAAAAGAGCAGCAAATTTGAACATTTGCTTTGGGCTATCCAAGTTGCAGGTTCTCCCCAAAGACCATTGGATTCACACAATGACTGATCATTACCTAAATATCACAACTTTGTACAACTCCAAAGCAAGCATCTTATCTGGCTGCAGTTTATCCTTTTTTTTCAGGTTTGTACAGGTGGAAATGTCCCTGAAGGGCAAGGCCCCACAATGATCAGCACGGGATCTCTGCTTCAAGCACTGGGCAGGAAGGGAATGGAGATCTGGACATCAGCCCTGTGACCACCAAATTCTGATACAGAGCAGCAATCCCCAGTAAGGACAAACACTTGCTGGCAGTGCAGCAGCTGTCAGCATCAAGAAGTACCAGACCCAACTAAAATGCAATTCTGCTTTGCTCAAAAAAGCAACTACAACCACATTTATGCTTTCTAATAAATATATGCCAGCTGCTTAATGCAGCCACAGTCCTCAGTCAACACTTTCCCTCGCTCCCTTT